CCCAGCCCGCTGCTGCGGGAGAGCGGCCGGCAGCGGCAGCGCTGAGCGGGCTCTTCCCATCGCGGGCCAGGTGAACGTTGTTCAGGCAGCATCTCCGGGGGCTCTCGGGCGCCTGCCGCTTCTCAGTGTTCTTTTCCTGGACACGACGGTGTGGCAGCAGAGACCCGGGGATACTCGGGAGAAGCTGATGTCCCGAGGGAGAAGGCTTTGGCCGCCAGCCGCAACCCGCTTCGCTGAGGAGCGGGAGCTCCCATCGGATGAACTGGAAGTCGGGCAGAAGCCATGCATCAGGCCCATAACCTCACGCGCTTCGACCACCAGGCTGGAGCTCCCAGCTGGGAACCAACGCCGACCCGGCAAATTTCAAACCGTTCCTCTCTGTCCTGAGTTTAAAGACTTAAGTGCAAACTTATCCGAATTTTTCAGTTTTTCTTCCCTTAAAATTAACATAGTCATGACTGAGAACGTGAGATATATGGAAAGTCACTTCTGAAACAAAGCCTTTTTAATTTACCAGTGCAACTGGTAAATACATTTTATATATATTTTTATATATAACAGGGATAACAATGACTTTGATTACTTACAAAAAATCACAAGTTGCAGATATATTGCATTTTGTGTATATGAAGAATATATTCATCACTCAGGCATGGCACTTATTTTGTGGTTGCTGTGTGGAGACATCCTGGCCATCTACTAACCTACTTTCCCCTCTATTTGAGAATTACAGGAATAGATTACTAATGTTGGATTGCAGTTCTCTGCACAACACATATATTACTAATTCTGTCTCTTCCTTTTAAAGTGACATCTGTCAAATTATCTAAGATCTTCTTCACCTCCCACAAGTATACAGCATAGCTGGAAGTTTCCTTGCAATTTGGTATTAACTTAAAGTAAAAATTAGTACATTTACTTGCTAAACAAGTCTGTTCCAGGACATATATCTAGTAACAGCTATACTGGTTTTTTTTTTCTTCTATTTTTTTTTTTTTTTAAGAGAGAAATTATCTGATATTTCAACAAGAACTTGCTTTTAAGGCCTTGATCCTAAAGACTTCTCAGACTTCATGGAAGCAAATTACATCAGGAAATTTCCAGTATTTGGGAATGAAGTAAAACAGTGATAGTTCACTTTGACTGCAATATTAATACTTAGCCACTGGTATAGAATATTCTTGCTAGGTTAAAACTAAAACATACTCATAATCCCACAATACATATGATAGCATAAGTGAACAGGCACCTTGTTTTCTGATTAATATATCCTGCTGGAGCATGTTGTTTTGAAAATCTGCCAAGTAAAAAACAGTAAGTGAAAGAAATTGTCTCTTTGTTTACAGCCCTTTGCATCCACTTAATACAAACCCCTGCTATCCTTACAAAACCATATATAAGCAAGCATTCTATCTGCCTGTTTTGCTTACAAACTGCTGCCTACAAATCATTCCACTGACACAGTTGAGAGTTCTTGTTTAAATAAAGCATTACTTGCTTTGATTAGGGGAAGAGGACACCATGAAGATCCCATTTATTACTTCCTACTTCCAGACATGCAGTTTAAATATCATAAAAATGCCTAAAGTGTCTTTTGTATTTTCAAACATTAACACTATAAACAATAATCAGATCTCTGCCATGTGTTAGAAAATGCCTCATAGAGGGACCAGGAGTAAGTGGGCATGTACTAAAGGACTTCCCAGCAGAGCACAGTACCTGTTGCAAAATATGGGTTGAGTTTCTGTTTTGTAACATAGTAGACCTGTATCTCTTGGTTTTGTGAGTTGTTGATGTAGAGATTGAAAGCAGAGTGTGAATTATATGGATCATCTCCAGATGAGACAACATCTATAATTTCAAGAATACATGGAGCTGGGTATATTCCCCTCTTTAATTTACAGAAAACTTACTTTCTTACTGAGTTAGAGTTGACACTGATCTAAATGTATCTCTTTATTTGTAAAGCCATGTTGCTTCAGTGTTATCAATTTAATAGCATTATGGCAGGAGAGAAAACCTTCATTAGTTCCTTTCAGAAATTTCAAATATCAAAAGACTTCCCTTATCAAATAGCATCGTAAATGTACATAATGCTCTTCCTTGAATGCCCTGTCTTTATTTGGCAATTAAACTTTATGATCCAGTGGCCAGAGAGATGGCCTTTCTCTCACAGCAGTGAGCAGTCAGCATCCCCTGCCCAAAATGTTTAATACTAAATCCACCTCAAATAGTACTAAGTATTACTAATTATTTTTTTTAATATAATAAATATTAAATCTTTCTCCTTGCCTTCTAGTTTTTTTTGGAACCAAATAGTCAGCTATCAAAGTATATGTGAACACTGCATATCATCAACATCAGGCATAACTTGAAGTAGTATATATAGGGAAATCAACTTCCAGTGGGATTGCTCTGCATAACAATGAATAAGGGGCTGCACACCTACCTACATGGGAAAACTTGCTTATAGGTGAAGCCTCAGAAAACTCATTTGGTTTTTCCTAATTTGGTTTTGCTAATTCTTCAGGAAGAAGACCTCAAAATTGAGAGAAGAACAGAGAGGAGTGAAAAGCCTGAGTGCTGTTTTTCTCATAAGAGTGTGTCAGATGAAAGTTAGCAATGTTTATGGCAGTAGTAACTCTCTAATTGAGGACAGTTGAAGAACAGAAAAGCATAAGGAATTTTCCTTATTCCAAAGATAAAAAAAAGGTAAGCAACAAAATCCTGAAAAGCATTAAAACTGTAAGAGCTTTCAATTTTGTCACTGGAAATATCTATGAAGATAATTATAAAGATTTCTTATCATGAAACTTTTATCACAGTAAGTTCACAGTTTCTGGGAAGTAAGAGAAATTAACTGGCAGCTAGCAAAGGAAGGTGCTTAAAGGAAAGAATTAATGGTCTCAATAGTGACAATAAGGAAGATTACAGCAGGAGTGAGTTTTTGGAGACATCTACATTGCATCTACAAAGATTACTGTGTGCTCAGGTCAAATGTCAATTGCAAAATTTCCACATGCATTTTAGAAAACAGACATAATTTTGAATATTACACATGAAATCCAGAGTTTATCTTACATGTTCTTAAGGAAGAATATGCTAAGACTGTGGGATAAGTTACAGAGATATGGCAATTTCTTCCCCATTCTGAGAACTTCACTTTCATTATTCATAGGCACCAAATATATTTTGGTGTCCTCATGAAAGATTTGTGTCTAATAACATCAAATATTACATGTTCTTAATAACTACATATATCTTACTTCTCTTTTTCCCACCAAAGTCAATTTGCTGTTAGCTGGCTTAGGCTTCATGCAAGCAGCAGATACTGCAATACCAAGGCGTAGTGACTGGCCACACCAGGTAACTGATTATATGAATAACATATGTTTACATATAGGTTCCAAATAAGACAATTTTTAAATTATGTCAGTAGTTAGAAGGAAGGCCTCCAATTCACAAGATGATTGGAAGAAGTAGAGGTAGAAGAGGAACTTAATTTAGGAGGCTGGTTCTTTTAGGAATGAAAGTCAAGAGTTACAAGAAATGACAATATCCTTGGAAAATAGTAAACAATGTGCTCTAAACTATATGCTAAACTATATGCTTCCAAACTTAAATCAGGCTCTGTCAGCTACAAATCAGGGAAATGCCAGGAGTCAGAGATCAGTAGGGTCTTTACTTCTGATGCTTTCAGCATCTATCTTACATGTAGCTTTCTTCCATCTTGGACTTGGCCCAAGAAAGTAGAGCAACCAAGACTAAGTATTCTTTGATTTATCCCCTCAATTATTTGTAATGCCAGTCAAAGGGAGGTTTCAAATTCTTTGTTAGTTCCTTGTCAGCCTAGCACTGGATAATAGACCTGTAGCAGTATTTTCTTAAAGCATAAGCTATTACAGTATGCCTCACTGTATATTTGCCAATATTTATGAATTTTATACTTAAAAATATGTATACACATGCACTCACCTACCCCATATATAGAAAGACCTACACACATCCTATAACTATGCCAACATCAGTAGCCAATCTGATTCAATTAGCATAGCAGAAAAATATTCTTGCAACTAAATAAATACACTGGTATAGAAGCTTGTGTAGAAAATGCCAAAATTATTTCATCACCAAAATGATGTATTTATGACATTTCTAGGTTAGATGTAATGTAATATGCTGCAAAAACATAATGGAAAAAAATACTGTCTTCTGTCTTGGTTGATGCTGGAAATCTGTAGCTTGACCACTCTGTCCTTCCTTCTCCTAACACAGCTGAGGACATGTATGGACATTCCCTGGATCAGACCAATATGCTTCTGGCCAGTCTGGGTTGGGATAATGACTAGAATCTTCCAGTCCATGTTCTGTAGGTCAGAAGATTCAGAATGCAGTTTTGGCACAACTACAAGGTAAAATGCCACGTGACTGTGACAGCAAGTGCATTGCTGTGATAGAACACCATCTCGGATTGGAACAGCTTCTGCACCTGTTTCTCTAAAAGCATTTCTATTTATGAGCAAATAGGAATGTTGCAATTGTACTAATATTAATTTTAAAGTTTAGTTAAAGTTTTCTAAAATTGGTTTAGTGCAATAGCACTTTTATAGGAAAAAGTTATTTTGAACTCGATTAAATCAGTTTTGAGGCTCACTGAATTAGAGCTGTATCCTTAAGACATACCACACTACATGTTTTAATTTTTTTTTTAATATGGCACTTTCTGGCAACTCTGAGTTGCAAGGTAACAAAAACAAGCATAAATAATATACTAGCAAAGTAGCTTCCCTACCAGCTTATCAAGATTCAGAGAAGCTAAAATTAAAACAATGTTATCACATTAGGCCTATATATAAGAACTAGACACAAACACTGTGTAAACACAGATCTATTTTTATCATTTATGTCATTGTCATAAACTGCATTTATTATACCTTTAATTTCATCACCATTAGTCAGATCCAGTGATCCACCTCTGCTATAATGATTTTTTTCCAAATCTCCAAGAAGCCCAAACAACTTCCCATCAAACCAAACACAAAAATTAAACTGAATTTGTGGGCTTTTTTTGCCATAGAAATGATACTTTTGACTCCAGCTCCAGCTACTTTGATTATTAGCTACATTCCAGTCAGAATCAAGGACAGTTTTACAATCTTCTTGTTTATGTCATTTTAACAAAAATTAATTTCATTTTAAATGTTCCCTAAAAAAATCTTGATGGATGCTACATTCCCTTTCTTTATTCCCATCTGTCTGTTTTCATTTTATTATATTACTTTTTTTCCCATGTCCCTTGCAACCTACTCGTCTGCTCTTCCCTGAAATTTTTTTCTAAACTCAGACTATTCCTTTTACAATGCTGCTCCCAGGTAAACAGGCCCCTCTTATCTGTCAGAGGCTTCCTCTCCATGTTTTTTTAAGCTCATGCTTTTCCACACATCTTTCATAGCTCTGTCTCACTCTTTACACCTTATATCTTCTTTCCTGAAGTATCTGTCTTGCCTGGAGCTTATTTTGTTGCCTTTGATTTTAAGCCATTAGAGACAGACAGTGTTTGCAGAGAGCCATGTCTGTATGTGGTTTCCAATAGCAATGGGGCATGTCTCGAAGCTTTTTTCAGGCAAAAGTCTTACCAGTTTAGGGTTGTTGTTTTCAGGGTTTTTTTGTAATTGCTGTATAAGGCTTTCAAATTTTGGCCACAAAACACCAGCAATAAGCCTGACAGATGATCAAATATTAGATACTGAGATAAGAGTGTTCTAATCACAGATTCTGTGTCTCTGTTCCCTTCCAGCTACAGATGAGCTGGTCTGCTGCATCATTCTGGAATGCCCCCTGTGCTGGGAATAGGGGTACTGCTTTGCTCCAGCTGTTCTGACACCCACTCAGTTCAGTGTCCTATCCCTTGTTCTGTCCAAGCACACCTCCAAAAAAAAGATAACAATGCCATAGTCAGCAGATTTGGATCAACCTTTCTTTCAGGGTACTAAGATTTCAGACAGTTAAGGAGATAAGAGAGGAAAGGCTGCTTTGCATATTTAGCTCATCAGTTAATGCTTCCTAATGAGACAAAGGTGGAAGATATGAATACAAAACTGATCATAAAAAAATAAAATCAATGATGCCAAAGAAAGCATAGAGTGACAGAAAGAGTATGGATTTCCAAAAGTGGATTTTTCTTGGCTTGCAGAATGAACGGGTGGGTAGATCTTTTGGAAGAAATTCATAAGGAAACAGAAGCATAGGAGAGCCAACAGTTACTGAACAAAGTGTATTAAAGGCACAACAGCAGATTACCCTGATGTAAAGTAGGCACTGACAGAGAGCAGCAAGGCTTCATTAGGAGCTTTTTGGTTAACTGAAAAACAGGAAGGAATCATGCAAAACAGCGAAAACAAGAACCAATTACTAAAATTTAGTTAAAAATAATAGTAAACTCACATGAGGAACAAAGGATGAAGGCAAAGAAGCTATATGAGTTCATCTAGGAAAGGACCTAAAAGCCAATAGAAGGTTACATACACACAAACTAAGGGAAACAAATTAAAATTCAAGTCCAGTATCTAAGGAAAAGACAGCAAATAATGCAACACAAAGAATTCTGAAATTTTCAATGATTATTTGCCTAATGTGTCTACAAAATATCTTAGTGTCAGACATACAAAGAAATTAATTTTAACAAACGTCTAAAACACACAGACCAGAAAAGGGAAGAAATGTGTTAAGCAATATTAAGAAATGCCAGTTTCTTATCCTGATGACTTAAACATGTAGTTCAGAAAGCAGTGGATAAAGCCAGCCTCCCTGTAGCCTTGTGTCTCCTGATTGCATTAGCCCAGAGCAAAAAGGATGGCTGAAATTTATGGCTGGAATATTCATAACAATCTTCTGTGAGTTTTCCACTGCCGGATATCAGGGTTTCTTTTACACTGAATTCCTTGTTGCCATGGAAGGCTCTCTATTTACCTGCTTATCTTCACAAAATCTGTAGAAATGTGGTATCTCTGAGACCGCAACCACTCGGTCCAGTTCAGTTGGAGAGTAAGCAACAAGTTCAAAAGGCATGGTGTGGCCTGACTAGTCATATTTCAGATCGTATAAACTGTGTTTCCATAGGAAAATGTGCTAAAAATTACCCTGGAGCACTTTAAAGATAAAATAATCTCTGTATGATGATTCTGGGATGGAAGCAGAGGGAGGGTGTTCTGGAAGAGTATTTTGTTGTGGTTTGGGTTTTTTGAGAATTCATGAAGTCCAACTGAGGTCCAAGAAGACTAGAAATGATGAAAATACTTCCTTAGGAAACAAAATGCCATTGACCTCTCATAAATAACCATGCATCTCTGAGAGATACTGTCATAGGTTATTAGGCAGTTAGTGTATAGGCATGAAGAGAACAATATGTAGAAAACAATTAGGTAGTAAGGCCTTAAAATGTAATCTTAGGATCATTATTGTGTCAAACCTCTCCAATTTCCTTCCTAGAAAGGAAAGGCAGGCCTATTGAATACGAAGGAAGCAGTAAATGTGATATCTGTACTTTAACAAAGCCTTTAGTTACTTCCTCTCTAATTTTGCCTGCAGTACAAAAAATGGTGTAGACAAAGTCAAGTAACAGTTGACACACAAGTAGTTAAGTATTTCTCCCAAAAAGTATTTATTTAATGGTTTTCTGACAGAGTAGGATGGCACTGCAGTAACATCCTTCAGGGTCTTCTCATCCATCCTATTCTATTCAATTTTTCATTGAACAGTTTGGAAAATAGAAAAGGGAGTAAACTTGTAAAATTTGCAAAAAGCCAGAAAGGGAGTTGCAAACACAGGTAAGCAGATCAGAATCCAAAATATTTAGATAATGTGAGAAACTACAAGTGCAATAAGCTCATACTAGATAAACTGAAATTGACAAAACCAGAGTATATTAATATAAGCTCATGATGCTTTAACAAGGCAACAGGATTGCAAAGAAAGATAGGAAGGTTCAAGTGGATTTCAAACTAAATATGAGTCAACATGATGATGTTGCAGAAAGGCATTTCACATTCCAAGATGTATTAGGAAGTGTGCAGAATGTGAGATACAGGACCTAATTATTTCGCAATCTTCAGTGCTGCTGAGGTCTCAGCTGGCACATTCTGTGCAATTTTGGGCAATGCACTCCAAAAACAATTTCAACAATTTGGATGGAGTTGAAATGAAATCAACAAGAATGATATTTTGAGAATATGACTTACAAGGAAAGGTTGAAGAAATGAGGCTTTGCTTCCTCAGAAAAAGAAGACTGGATGGAAAATGCATAAAAGGTTGCATACAAAAAGTCATGGTCAACAGATCTTTGTACACACCTGAATTATAACAAGTAACTACTTAATTTGTAACGAAGAAGAGTGGCCTAGATACAAAAAATGAAACAACAAAAAAAAATCCTTTCAACCTAAAGTCTAGATTAGATGGAATAGATTTATGAGGTTGTGGAATCCCCTTCATTTGTGGTTTTTAACAGCAGCCTATACAAACATCTGTCAGGGGTGACCTAGTTACCCATTTCCTACCACAACAGGGATAGACTGGACCTCCTTTTTTTTTTTTTTTTCCCCCCACTGTAATGATTTCATGACTGGAGAACCTGTTTCATTTAACTTGGTTGCTACAGATTAAGCAGTACAACTGTTACAACTGAGGAGCCAAGGCCTTAGTAAAATAAAACAAACCTCCACATAAAATAAAAAATTATTCAGGGGAAAAAATTGAAAAATAAAATTAGCTTTAGCATTTTTTAAACATATATTTGTCAAAAATAATTGTTCTCTATTAATTACATTATTTCTTCCAATACAATTCTATTGTCAAAAACATACCTTTTATAACCATTAAGAAGTCAAATTGAGATTTTGAATTCTTTTAAAATAACCGGGGTACCAAAAAAAATATGATGTTAATTCTTAATGTCATTATTTAAAGCGAAGTAATACCAATGATTTTCATCAAGAAAGAGAAGTGATATGTGAAATACAGAAAAACAACTCACAGAAAAACTGTGAATGAAGCTCTGTCAGCACCTCAGGGATATGATGGTATTATAAACATAAACTGCACAAGAGCTTTTCTCTGTACTTAAGGTGCTGCCATCAGAAACCTGTGTTTACCCACAGCAGCTTTAGGTATCACTGTTACCGATACTTAGATAATATCAAGCTATGCACATGCACAGATGCACTGAGTGTCAAGCTATAGTTACAGTTGATCTGATGACACTTCCATCCCAAGAACTCATACAATCCCAGTTAAAGAAATCAACACACCAGTTATGTTGAAATCTTCATGACTACTATTAAATTTTTAGATTACTTCCAAGAGTTAATTTTTAAAAATACATGTTTCTTTTTCCATTTTTTGTAACTGCCAAGAAGGTCTCTTCCATTTTTCTAAGCATGAAAAAAAATCTGCTCCAGAACAACATTTTGAATTATTTATTTTAAATTACTTGCCTAAAACTCTAAACCAGTTATGTTTTCAGAGCAAGCTTGTAGTTTACAAAATGTACATAGCATAAGAAGGTTTTCAGTTGTTTTAAACTCACCAATCAAGAAAAGAATCCAACTCCTACTACTGGCCTGCAATGGGATGAAAGGAAACGAGTCAGTAAACCACAGACATCTGGTTCAAAATATGGGACGTGTGGCCAAAGGCTTTAGCAGGTTCTGTATTACTAAGATCCCCATCAGCCTTTACAAAATATGTGAATTATTAGAACTACACTAAATGGTAATTGATCCAAGAATAATGTAATTCTTTCCCATTTCTGTAGACAGGTGTGTTTAATTCTCTGTGTGTTTCCCAGGCTCTGATAGGTGAAAAAGAACTGTAGAAGAATTCACTAAAGTAGCAAGACAAGAAAGCAAAATGCCATTGCTTCACGTGCTGTATAACATTCATAAGGCAACTGAGGAGATTAGCTTTAATTTCCAATCTTAACACACAATTGCATGCTGGGTTTTTACAATGCAAAAATGTGAGCTGGAGGATATTGCAGGAATACTGATACACCAATGACTTCTCCATTTTCTGGATTAGATTTTTGATTGCCCTGCATGCCAAAATGTAGGGTTTTCTCCCCCTTCCCAACTTGGTTTAAAGCACAAAGAAAAGAGATTAACTACATAATGTAAGAATTAGCATAACTGTTCAGGTAATACTAAGAAGAAAGTACTATAGTTGTGCCTGTAAAAGTAAGTTCTTATGCATGCAAAAAATCAAATGTATACAGCTGTGCAGTTTCTACCTACAAAGTAGAAGTCTGTGCTTATAAATAAATGTTTTTGTGCCTGCAATGCATGTAGAATTGCTTCTTTTTAAACCAGCTTGAAGTGAAATTGAGTTTTAGGCCTTCCCATTTTTCCACCAATATGGTATAATACTGCATATAGAATGAATGGCATCATAAGGGAATTTTTTTGTATCCCATCTCATTTTTTTACCAAATTGTATTCCTAGACTGTTCCCAGCAGCTGTTCATCTAATGCATCAGCAAGAACCATATTCAACAAGATTATACTGCCTTTATTTGTCCCCTTCAGAGAAGCAGTGGAAGAGCAGAAAAGTAAGAGAGGTAAAAATGCAATAAGTGAGCCTATAGGAAAACACAAAATTCCCAGAGTCCTGCAACTCAGTTAAACCTTAGCTATGAGCAAAAGACCACAAACTGCCCTTTGATGTGTTAACTGAAATGTAGCTTTCCACACAGTCTCATTTTCTTCTCAGCACAAGAGACACTAGCTATTCTTGAGAAAGAAAAAAATTAAATGTCTGTCATATAGTTTTTCCTTGCTTACTTCAAGAGCAAAGGGTTAAGACAGGAATTGAAAAAGCATCCAAGAGATTAAATAAACAAAAATGCTTATGTACATGTATATGTGCATGATAATAAGACAGTTCCTATGTATCTTTCCTTCTCCCCTTGCTGCAACACAGACAAAACACAGCTTCAAGCTTGCTAGGCCTCCTCCCTTTCTCTTCTGCAACAGCTTTCAATAGGCACAATGCTTATTTAGTACTACAAGAAATAGGGATTTTGCAGTTCAAATGAACCACATGTTCTGCGATGTAATCAACGGCTAAATTTAAAAAAAAAAGAAAAGGTAATAAGTTAAGGACTGAAACTGCAAACAAACCCAGAAAGGAATAGATGTTAAACATGCCACAATATGTAGAGATTACATTAACTCTTACCTGCATCTTATCAAAGAAGCTCGAAGATCAAACCAGACACATTCGTCTCTTGCTTGTAATTTGCTGTATGGCAGTCCAGCAGCATTGCACACAAGTATTAACAATCACAAAAAATACAGATGGGAAAGAATTCTGCATGTCCTTCAGCCAATGCAGGATTTTTCATTTTGTATTTTTCTTTTCATGGTTCAGTATCAAGCACTGGAGATTTTTAGTGGATCTGCAGCCCAGTAGCTCTCAATACACTGGAGTATTCTTCATTATGGTCTAGCTTTGCTGATTTTTCTAGAAGGCAGAGATTTTTTTTGCTACACTCTCTCATTAGCCTTCTAATTCTCCAGTAAGTACTAAGGGGGTTGGGTTCATAATTCTTGCCAATTTTAGTAGGAAGCAGTTACTGTCCCCTAATAATAAATATTTATATTTGCAAAGTTGTTTTTTCTGTTATGTTACATCTTGACCCATAGCTGTTCGTTTCACAAACAATCCATATTTGTTGCATATTCGTAAAAGTCAGTATCAGTATGCAGATACTGTAGCATATTTTGAGGATGTCCTGTTGCTGTCTGCATTGCTGTGCAATTTATATCCTCCATTATGCCCTTATTTTGAGATATATTTCTCGTCTATGTTATATTTCAATCCCCCTTTTTCAGATTGTCCCCTATTTGTTGGCTCTGTGCTGGTAATGAAGTGGCTCTAACTGAATGCTTTCAGTCTTGTCAGACAGATGTATGCCAGGATGAATCTAGTGTCATAGCTCATATATTAGAGAAAAAAAAATCAAAACTGCATCATCTGCAGCATTGATTAAGGGACAGCTTGAATCCCTAAGGCATTTCAGAGCATACTGCTAAAGATATTCCCTGTCAAAATAGGAAAATTTAATCTATTGCACAGAGAATAAAAATCCAAGTTCTGGACATATTCAGCACACAGCCTGAAACACACTAGCATGAAATGAGGCAATGAAGTGGTCTCGCTGTGCCAAGCTGAGTATCTCAGGATGTTGACATCTAATACCACAATGCAGAACTTCGCCCAGTCTTGAGTAAAACTTCCAGTACTTTCAGACAGTAAAAGGATAAATAATTATTTTTCACTTTATTTTTTGGAAATGACTCAATTAAATCCTTTTCTTGACTTCTCAAGTTCCCTCTACCAAGTACACACTTCAAGTGTTTTCCCATTTGCGATCAAGAAACTTCAAGCTTCTCAGGGAGGATCATTGCAAAGAAATTCTGGAGGCATCTTTAGTATGAGTCTTGTTTTCTTTTTTACAGTGACAGAAAAATTGCCTAGCACAGACTACAGCCACTGCTGAGCCTAAAGCTACAAGGCACCCCTTGGTCTGAGAGTCAGCTGATCTAAGGTGTACAAAAAAAAATACAGGCAGGTATAAACTGAAGGATGTCTCAGAGCCCCCTTTATTTGGAAGAGGCTATTACACAATGCACTGAAACACCCATAATGGTTCTATTCCTGCGTATATGTATAAGCTCAGCAGAAGGTGATCTCCACTGCTCTGGCAGGAGGCACTCAGACACTATTCAGAGAAAGAGTGAGTGTTCCCATGTCATTAATCAAGCTGGTAACTAACATTAATACACTGATTGACAGGATGCTCCCAGCAGCTATTATTGGCTATGGATGTCATTCAATGTTATCCTTTTCCCATCATGTTGCCTTCATGATGTGCTGGCAGAGGCTGCATTTTATACATCAGCTTTCCTAGAAAAGCCCAACTGCACCATTGGAGTAAAACTATGATCATCCTGAAGTCAGGAGCAAATCTGTCATTAGAATCACATAGGCCTTTAGGATCACAAATGCCAACTATTAACCTAGCATGAGAAACAGGGCTAGAATTTCACAGTAGGAGTTACTAATCCTTTATTTCTTTTCTTTCTCTCTCAGGAAAACTTATTTTCACTTTTGAAAAATCTTTTATAAGATGCAATACTGACACATAAAAAAGGATGTCTATCAGACTTGACCACTAAAAGACAATGCATCTCATCTTCTACCTTCCAAAGACAGATTCACCATTCACATTCATCTGTCACAGAAACAACAGTGAAACTAATGCCTATCTCAGATGAAGGGATTCAGTCAATGTTTAAGGGTCTAGGGAGGCAAAGAAGACATGGTCTGCTATCAGATTACTTGTCATGCATGTGCTTAATGAACCTTATACACCTCAGAAAGAGCCAAAATTCCAAGGTAATTTCATTAACAAGAAAACTTAACCTTAAACCACTAAAATCAGTCCTAAGACTCATACAGACAACTTTGTACACAATTTGTATTTTTTTCAACAGAAAGTCCCACCCAATTTTCCTATCAGACAATTCCACTTCGGGTAGTAAGGGTAAGTGCCTAATAACACACAGAGCTCTTTTAGCTGCTTGCACGCTAACAACCAGTACAATTGTGCCTAGCTTTTTATTTCAAATGGAGACTACCTGCTTCCCATCATAATGGTCCTTCATTAGAGGACCTATTCCATCATGATTTATATGATACCTACGCAAGTTCCCAACGGGAGTTGTACTTTGAATAATAAAGGTAACTTCTTTGTTCCATACAGATTTTGTGCCAGTTCTATCTGCTTTTCACTTATTCTAGTCACTATTTTGATCTTCTTTTTGATGACAGTACCACAGTACACTCATAAATTCATATGCCAAGTTATTAAAAAGTTTTTAAAAATCCAAAGAAGTTATGAAGTATGCTGTAAAACTTGTTCCAAATTTGAGTTTTTAGATTCTCGTGTATGAAGGATAATCCATGGCCCATTGCACACACTCATTTATTTACAACAACATTTAGAGAGAAACAAAATTGCAGCAAAATATTTCTGCACATTAGTTTCTTTTTTCCATTCTATTTTTAGTGTATTTCTATATTGATTCCTGACCACACCTCAGGCATGCACAAAGCAATACAATTGCTATCTCTGTAGTTCTATGATTCTATGTCAAGCTAGGAAGAAGCAAGTCAACTTGCTTTGTTTTGGAGTTTTCATTTTGGTTTACACCCACATGCACACAAATATGGATACTTATGTTCCTTATCTGTAGTTTCTGAGACAGTGCTGAGCTGTTTCCAAAGAAAACACTGTCATGATCAAGCTTTGCTCTTACCGCAGAAAGATCCTTAGGTCTAGATGACCTATGTTTTATTTCGGAGCTTTAGTAGATCTCTTAAGTACTTCACATCTCATCCTTGGAGTGCCTAGAGAAAATAGAGCAGAATAGTGATACTGAATTTATTTTTCTTTGAATAGGTAGAGCAAAGAACAATTACAAAGAGCAAAGACAGATGAGCTGTATCCTCCATCTCTGAGAATACACAGCATTCTTCTGTCTTAACTGCTAGTCTTCAGTGCCAAACTTACTGCTGTGCATGTTACCTTATCCCCCTCACTAACCCAACCATGAGCAAGCAACGACTTAATGAGTGAGGTGAGATGATTATTCACCAGGGTGGGACAGCTTCTTATATAGGTTCATAACCAATTACAGTTTAGCAGCTGTACTGAACTCAAGGATTGCAGCCATCTTATGGCTTTTTTTGTTCATGGGACATGTACAAAATACCCAGGTTGTCTGAGAAGCCTTTGTTTATATATGAATTTAGCCAACCTTTATTATGGTGGTCATCTTATCCATGGCTCTTGTTATTTAATCCTGACATTTAGCAATAGTAAACTGTTTACTGGATAGTTTCTTGTCATGGGATTCAACAAAATGAAAGCAAAGATGACACAGGGATTTTTTGGGAAAAAGCTATGATTCCTCTTGTATAGAAGCTTTCACTTTTCAGTACTGTCATTACAAACTCTAGCCCTTCTACTGTTACGTGGTAAAGGGTAAGAGTAGCCCTTTTGACAAGGAATGCTGCAGAGGAGTGGAAGAAAAATTTCCATCTGGGGACATAAGGTGCCAATAACTGAGGCTAATGCACATTCAGAATAACTCAGAGCATCCCAAACTCCAGCTGAAACAGTAATTGCACTGTTATTGCTAAGATCCCCTAAAGACAGTGTGAGTGCAGAGTCCACAAAGACATCAGCTTTTTCCTGCTTTTCAGGATGAGAACCAATCTATCACCCTGCCCTAATACAAACAAGTACTTACTGCTAAGAATAAACTCAAAAACACTACTTACCATCTGACGTGTCTAATGCTGAGTATATTAAATAGAATACGAAATATTATTCCCTATTACTGATTTGGGTACTTTTCCACAAACCACTTCCTGAGTGGAATTCAGAAATTAGATTCCTGTCTGTTTTCAGTATGATTTTGCCTTTGCATAAAAATCACAAACAAATTCCAAAATTACAAGTCTTAAGCACCTTGTTAAATACTATCTTGTCCACAAAGACTGTACAAGATACCTGGGAGATCTATACACAAAGACTGAAACAGAAGGAGACTGAAATAGGTATATTATTAAGAAGTCCCACATACAAAGCAAGATTTCTCTTATTCTTCTAATACTGTATTTTGTGTAACCCCCAAGGCATAACTTCTTATAACCACTGTCTCCAGGAAGAATTTACTGCCAATATATACTGTACATTAAAGGAACAAAATTACCTCTGTCCACATTCACATCAACCCCACAGCTCCTTAAGACAATCATTTTCAAAATATCTTTGTTCAGTAAAATAAGCATTGTTTGAAATTTCTTGATGGCAGACTAGTAGAATCAAAATGAAGGCTCACCACTCAATGCACTTGCCTTCTTTTTAATTTCTCACAGGAATTAGAAGTCTATTCAGTTTTTCCTCCTTTAGCACCACACTCTGCCTTTGTAGATTACTGAAACATGAGTTTGTGAATGCTGTTTCAAGTAGAAGGATGTTCCTATGTATAGGAATGATGTTAATTCCTGCCACTTTGAACATCCAAGTGAGATTGTTGTTAAAGCTGCTTCCAAAGGACCAAGAAAATTTGTGCCATTCAGTTTGATGACTTTCTTCACCTCTATTAGACTAAACATAAATGTAATAAAGCCAAGACAGATTCCAAAGGTTAGTCTTTCATTTAGGCAAGATACTGGAGATGCAAAACCTGTGTAGCATTTACAGGAATCTAGCATGGATTCAATAAACCAATTGAACATGTAAGGAACATCCTTTCTAAATGCAAATTATTCAGGCATAATTTGAGTTCCTTAAAGGTTACTCTTCAGTACCTTCTCCCTGTCTAATAAATGAGAATGCAGAATAGCTTAGCTTCTTTTTTCAAAATTCTTCATATTGAGTCATTCTGCTGCTTCTGTTATGGGCCTTTTCTGTACTGAGCAGATACAGGCTCTGGACTGCTTCTTTTCTGTGACTACTGAACAGAACATTCCATATTATTATTTTATTAAAGCATTTATTATAAAAACTCGAAAACTAATTTTAAAAGCAGGTCTGACAACACAGCAATGTACAGATATACTTAAACTGCAGCATTTTTTGTTTCCTTTGCATTTTGCCAAAATAGTCTACATATTCCTACCTGGAAGCATAAAAATATCAAGAATGTCCCAGAAAATACAGTCCAACAAATATTGATATTACACTCATCAAAGTATCAGCAGATCCCTGAAAAGATGTGCACAGTAGTCCTAGATCTGACTATGAAATTTATTTATGATGAGATCTTGTCTTAAATTAAGGCTTTGGCAAAACTTTTACTTGATTCCTGAGGGTCAGAACAATATTTGTCATATGAAATTTGAGACAGGGTCATCCTAGGAATCACATGAAAGAAAACATGTCATATTATACTCTGAGTGTCATAATAGAGGTGTTCTCAGAGAGGAACTTTATTTGTGCATAATAATAGTCGCTGACCAGTCAGCTGCTGTGGGCCCTTTGTGGCAAGGCACATTCACCAGAGAAATCCAGGTATATTTTATATCCCAAACTTGTGTTTTTTCATGGGAATTTAATTTTACCATAAGTCACGTGGCAGCATTGTCAGAATTTGCAGGGATAAGTGAAACTGGAAAAAGAAGCACTAGCAGTTTTGTGAACACAGTAAATATTTTGCTTTTTTTTTTCTCACATGAAGTTCAACAAGACATACTAACTGGTCACATAATGTTAAGACTTTAAGCTGAAAATGTGGCTATATTTCAGACAATCAGTAATTCATTCCATATCTCTGTCTCATCTCATCTGTATTCTATATTTTTTCAATTGTATCAAGGCCTCACCATTATATATTAATGGTAGAACACATGAAATAACTAGTATTTAGTTATAACTAGTATTTGGAATGTTGTAGGTAGAAAACAGACAACAGTAAAAGGCTCCATTAAGAAAAAGAGATATATCATGGTTTTCAGTCTGTGCAAAGACAGCACCCAAAATAAAGATAATTATAATAGAAACTAGTAATAAAGTCCCAAATGAATACCTTCAGCATACCATGCATAATTGAAAAAAGGATTCAGTCTTCTCCAAAGAGCATTAGGAAATGGGCTGGATAATAAACATTTACTGATTTTTCTACGAGTAGAATAAACCAGGACTTTCTTGTTTTCTTTATATCTACTACAGCCAGTAGAAATACACTTGTAGGTCACATATCAGGCATTTCTCTTCTGGAGCCCAGAGACCTTGACTCCACCTACATGCTGCTGAGAAACTCCATGAGACTAACACACAAGATGTTAATGGCTAGGGCCAGACCTTGTAGCACAGGTGTCAGAAGATTCCTCTGCCCTAGTTCAATCAAAAAAAGATTCTTCTCATCAGGCTGCTATAATATTTTCAAGAAACACCTTTGTTTTGTAAAATTATCTTAGTCTTACACCAGCTGGAAGGAAACTGATAAAATTCAAGTATTTTGAAGATTTAATGAGTTCCTATTTTGTTGTGGCTTTATAGCTCACATATGGCCAACTAACTTTTAAAACCTCAAACTTTGCCTGTTTAAAGTTCTCACAGAAAATGAGGGCACAGTCTCATTTTGAAGCTCACATCTTATAGTAAGGTAACGGCTGTTTCTTTGACTGATGAATCAGCTGCACATGAACTGCCACTATACAAAAGCACTGCATGTTGGATGCAATGGCCAGAGTTTTGTCACTTAACATAGCTACAGGATTTTTACATCCTGCTAAAGAGTTCCATTCCCAGCTATTTCACCTACAAAAAATAGCTCTTGAAACATACTGTGTATACTCAGGATGAAAGTTTGACACAAAGTTTAAATTAAAAAATTATTTTTCCTCAAAACAGTCTTTCCTCTGCTGCCATCCACTTACTAGCTATTGTTTCCTTAATTCAGAGTTACAAGGAGTTCTGCCCACTTGGACTGTAAGTGATCTAAATAATGAAGTATGTGCTTCACTCAAAGCAGAGCCAGGCACTGAAACGCCCCTGGGCCATACCTGGCCTGCCAGAACAGTACCCATGGGACCTCACAGCTTGTTCAAGGACTTTCTTTCCTGGAAGACCTTGGTAGCTGGATGGGGAAATAGCACCTGTGCTGCACATGCTCTGCAGCAGCAGACTTGAGCAGAGAGAGCCAGGGGTGAGTCAATGGCTGAGGTCTGCCCTGCCAGAAGCATGATGCTGCTGCTGGTAATGAACGCACTTAGCCAAACTGACATTATTGCAAACCTGGCAGGATTCCTCCCTCCCTGCCCCACATTTTCATGTGGCAAAGCACTCAGCAAGCACCTCTTCAGCTAGGATCTATGCAGAAGGCACAGAATGCTGTCAAAATAAAACACTGAACCACCAATTGCTTTATTAAGAATGAGCTCCTACTGCACAATACTGAATTATACAAATTTATCTAAAGTGAAAGTGAAAATGCCTGTTTTAATTCTGTTTCTGTCACAGCCTTTTGAATGTCAAAGGTCCTACTGCAGCAATGTTTTCAAAGAAACCAAGTGTGCAGAACTTCATCAGAAATAAAAAAAACCCATACCAATCTATTTACTGAATGTTAGTATAGTTTACCAGTTGCAAAGGTGATGTTAGTATAAATCTTCAATAATATTATTATCAAACTGACAACTTCCAGGCAGACTCCCACAAACTCCTTATTCCCTGAATACAATAGCTAAAACACAATTGAAGAGTCAAAATTCACTCCTTCTAAGGCTTATTCTAGATTTCCTTCCTTAATTTTGGTTGCTCTTATGTTCTCTCCCCCAAAGTCTACTTTTTCCACCTCTTCTGCATATAGCAGAGATACACAAAATACCATGAGAGGGTTCTGATGTTTATCAAAGACTAAACTTGTTGCTCTTCTATATTTCTTGTAATAATTTTTAATTAATTTTTTTGTCATAGAAACCATAGTTCTTCAGGAGGGCATGCCATGCGAGCACAGATTTGGTTTTGATATAACCCTATTAAGAATGAAATCATTCATGTCACCAACACTGCATATGAGTGTCCATTGTTAGCAGATTAGGGCTTTAAATGTTCACCTCTATATTTAGAAACCAAAAACCAAATGGCCAGCTTTCCTGATGACTCAGCATCCATACTGACTGCAGAAGAATGTGGATCCCCAGCAGGCCCCTTGCATAAAAGTGCTTAAAAAGTCCAAACGTGATAGTTATGGCTTGTATACTTTTCCAGATTAAGAACAGAAATATCTTTATTGATTTTTCTTTTACTACTCATTCCATACAACCATTTGTTTAAAGAAAAACTTCTAAGATAATAACCTTTCCCTCTTACCTTCTGTAAAATGCCTATTTAAAGAATTTCTTTTTCCTCATGCCAGGACCTTTCTTTACTTGGATGCCAGCCAATTTCCATTTCTCTACCTCTCAGTCTGCTAATGTTCTCATTTTATTTTTATACATACATATAATCATATGTACATGTATGTATATATATATATCATGTAAGCCTGTTAGGCTTATCTTTGGCAAGAATAGTTTTGCTGTGGTTTTGCTTTGTTTTGTTTTTAAAAGAGGGAGTAGTGAAACTCTCAGAAAGATAGAAAAGGTTGCTCTAGGCTACCCTGGGGAAAGTTTGCACGTTCATTACTGATCTCACCAAACAAGCTGGGCATGAAAACCAAGAGGCCTGAAATTGTCATTGTTCATGTAGCTACACATAGATACACATGCATGTTTATGCTCAACTTTTTATTTATTCACTTTATGAATACAACCAGGAATACTTATGTAATGTATACTTAAAATATCTAAGTAATACTTACTTACACTGCACTTGAGAGTCTCCAAAAGCTTTATTAAGATAGATCAGAAGGTAGTGTAGCTGGAAATAAGAATATAAAAATTATATAAAGTATGACAAGCATGCATATAGCATACCTCTACTAAAAAAAATGCTGGTACCACACCAGATAAGACTGCTGTAGTCTTGATCTCATATAAGAAAGGAAAGTCCACCAGAAAAAACACTTAGCTAATATTTGCCTGCATTACCTTCAGCTATCTGTGACTTCCAAAGAGTATCATGTTTGCTTTCTTTTTTAATCTGATTGACTAATTTAGAAAAAGGAGAATGAAGAATTGGAAAAAAATGGAAGCCCCAAGCATAAGTTTAGATTATATTGTCTTATTGGTATTTCCTTAGAATCACATACCATTGTGTGAAGTCTTTTGGTAATGAAATAGCACAATGTCTGTGAAATGTAAAAACATAAGAAAACATAAATTGTCATTGTCACTTTCTGACAATGCATTAAAAAAGCCATTTTTTCCCTTATTGTGTTTGGGTTTTTTTCCTATCTTCACAACCTTTGTTATTTTGGACTTCAAAGGTCTTTTAAGTTGTAGAATAGACATGCTATCTCACAGGAACTTTCTCAAGTATTTGAGAGGAAAACAACAAATATGAACATGTCTTAAGGATTTTATTACAAATCATTTATCCTAATCAATCATACTTACCTGGTTGGTTATTAAGTTTCATAAAATTTATTACCCACTACAAGATTTTGTAGGACAAAAAATTCTGAATATCCTACACAAAAATATAAACACATATGTGAGCAAACAAAATTTCAGCCCTTAAACAGAGTAAGAGTAGCAAACAAAGTATTTTTGTACTTCAATGTTAGCAATTTTACCTTTACAGGTAGTATTAATATCATGGATTTACCCCAGCCAGCAACTGAGAACCACCAAGCTGCTCACTCACTTCACTCTGGTGGAGTGGGGGAGAGTCATGAGGGTAAAAGCAAGAGAAGTCATGGGTTGAAATAAGGACAGTTCAATGCGTAAAGCAGAAGCTGTGCATGCAAGCGAAGCTAAAGAATTAATTCATTCACCACCTCCCACGGGCCAGCAGGTGCTCAGCCATCTCCAGGACAGCCAGAGCTCCACCACACGCAATGGTGACTTGGGAAGACAAACACTGTGACTCCAAATGTCCCCCCCTCCCTCCTGTTTTCCCCAGATTTATATGCTGAGCATGACACTAGGTTTGTAACATCCCTTTAGTAAGCTGGTGCTGTGTCCCCTCCCATGTCCTTGTGCAACCCCAGCCTCAGCCTTCTCAGTGGTGATGCAGTACAAGAAGCAGAAAAGGTCTTGATACTGTGCAAGTGCAGCTCAACAATAGCAAAAACATCTGTACATAACCAAACTGGTTTTAGCACAAATCTAAAGCACCATAAATAGCACCGTACCAGCCACTGTGAACAAAATTTACTCAAACCAAAACCAAAGCAGGCACCATTAATTTGGATTCCAATTGTGAGCAACTAGTCAATATCTTGAAGAATCTCTATAGATTTTAAAAGTCTTCTGGACTTAAACTGACATAAATGACATTGGAAATTTGGATCAAGGATTCAAAGACTTTACTTTTCTTTCAGATTAAACCCTGAGGCCTTTTACTAACATTGTTTCTAAGTAAAATAAATATTTACTGTTTCTGATACTCTCCCCCTGGCAATTGATGCAAGAAGAAGAGTGTGATTTAGTAGCTTGTTAAATATCTTAAATGATATAATAATACTTGCGTGTTTTTAGACTGTGTACTGTGCAGCTTCCTTTTCCATCTGCTTTCTTTTGCTACTAAAATAAGTACACGTAAAAGAAAAAGAAATTAAACCCAAGGTTCTTGTTGATTGTATTGATTCATCATAAACTTAGGTAAAATAAAATGTAGACTTACTGTGAGGAATGTTTCCCTTTTCTTTCTTTGTATAAGCTAGCTCAGACTGTTTCTGATTTTAAAAACAGATCTTATTTCAGAATTTGGTAACTATAGCTGAAGATTTATTCAATTCACTAATATTCACTCTTGAATAAAGAGATGACATTTTTATCTAAAATAAGATAAGTACTGTGTTTGTTGTAATTTGTATGTCAGAGAAACCTATGGTCAATGACAATAGCTTTTTAATATCTTTTCTTAACACAAACGTCTCTAGCTGTTAGATCACAAAAATTCAAAAGGAATTAAATGAATGATTTTGAACAGCATTGTGTGTCATCTCTGGGTTTAGCTCAGCCCATGTATAGACAGGCTTAGCATTGTCATTGAGAACTGCACCCATTTATGCCAGGGTCATGCCAGCGTCTCTCTGTGAAATCACAGCTCCATGCTAAAGATGCAGCTTCTTGCTACTGTTATTTTCTTTTCATCTTAAGTAAATGCATGTTTAACTATGGGCTGCACTGATAGTTTGCAGGGATGGAGATTAAATCTGAAGTGAACAAGGAAGATTCAACTCTGCTCCACTTCAGAGTGAAAATTGTTTCTCTGAGGGATTGTCACCCACATGCAAACGCTAGAGTGCAAATCTCCTCCTTGAAATGCCTCACACTGCTTTTCACTTCTCCACCCACTACTCTTTCTCATGCTCTCACTGTTGAGACATGTAATCAATGTCATTGGAAGCTAAGCTGCCCGATTCCTCAGAACAACATCTGACTACTGTGCTTAGTAGGGAATGTAGCAAACAGAGCCATTTAAAATGGCAAAGCCTTTCCTAGTGTAAAATGAAAGACTAGTGGTAGGTTTGGATTCTCTAAGCCCATCTGCTAAATCCTATACTGCACAACAACCCTTTTATTCAAGTTCAAAGATGCACTCCTCCATTTAAAAAGGACTTGCTATATCAGAAGGAAATGTAGGCTAGAGTGTGCCTGATACTAAAGAAAGAAAAAATTAGTGCTGGCTTTGCAATGAAACCCTCCAAAACAGTCTCAACCAAGCATAATTAATCAATTGTAACTCTTACAGCAAATCAATTACCCTCATTCTTTGGCTTTTGGCTTGTCCACATGCCAGTTTACAGTCGGGAGTGACAGGCAAGTGTGGCAAGATGTCTCTCTCCTGCTCTCTCAGGAACTGTACTGAATTTGTCATTCCTTATAAAATACTAAGTGGTATATGATTGCTAAAGGACATGTTGTCATGCCAATTAGTATGTTCTCTGCTTTTCTATCTTTTTCCCCCTCTATCTTTTCTTAATTCGGTAACTAGACCATTTTGTATTCAGGCATATTCTTCAGCTCTTCTGTTGAACAATGTTAGGATCTCATAAAAGGTAATGAGAAAAGTTTTAGGATTTTTTTTTTTTTTTTTAATTGGAAGCATTTAAAAATCTTGAACAGTAAATATGCAAAATTTCCCATTCACACATATAAAAATGAAAATGGAAAAAGTCTAATACAACCAGTAACTCACCAATCTTTTAGCCTAGTGAACATTGTGATTCCTTATTTTCATAAGGCATGGTGATAATTGTATACAACAGTTTGTTGCCCAACTTGACCAATTTATCTTGCTTTTTGTGTCATGTAAGGTATAAATTAGATCTTCTAAATACTAAAACATAACATTATATGCCATTCTCACATTGTCTATCATTCAATTCCCAAAGCTGTCTTCATATAAAAATTCCTAGAGACATGAAAACACTTCACTATCTATTTTTACTGCATTTTTTTCTTCTCGCTGAACAGGACACACTATAGAGAAGACTATATATTGGATTTATGCAGTAGCTACAGAGCATTCTATTTTTATATCATACTCAAAAATTTTAACATTTTGGATGTTTTTATAACTAGCAGTATACATCAAGTCTGTTTTTCTAATGAACTTAAAATTTCATTTAGTATCAAAACACAAGAATTCCTAGATTATTCTTAATCTATTTATTTATTAATTGTATATGTCATCTGTGGGTTTTAGCCTTATTAAGTTAATTCACTTGCTTCCTTAATCTTTTGAGTTCCCTTCAAAATTGTAGTGATCATAACCAAATCAACAAAATATCCTATGGAAATGAAACTATCTTGTTGCTAACTCCTTTTTCACAGCAACAATTGACAAGATATCTTTAGCTAACATTAAGTATACAAAGCTTCAAAACATTATACTTCAAATAAGTGAAATTTTCAGCCTCTTGGATAAGTGCTTCTCTGCAACCATAAGTGTTTTAAAATAACAAAACATATTCCATCTCTAAATTGCTGTGATCCCAGATGAAGCCTTTTCTGCTATTTTTCTTTAAGTTTATACAAATTCATTTTAAGTTCTGTTGAACAGATGCAAGTATAACAGAAACTGATATTGGGAGGCTCTTCACAGTGATAATCTGCAGATATTGTCTTGATTTAAATGGGACATCATCAGAACACATGGAGTAAATTTAATTGTTCTACCTTGATTGCACACAATCAGGATACAGACACTTCTGTTATTCTCTGGTATTTGCTTCCCAGGAGGCTAGGAATGTAGCTTCTGTCACTATAGGGTTCTACTTGAAAGAAGATAAAAACATTGTTCCCTAAGGAGAAAGCAAAAGCAGGTGTATCACACACTTGCCTGCACAGTTAAAAACATGTGCATAGGACATACAAACTACAACAAATGAAACATTCCATCTTTTTAATATATTGAAATGCATTGTGCACATATGGATGAAAGAAAAAACCTGAAATATTCTGCTAAGATGTGAAAATACATTACCACTTGGGAGAATAAAACTTTGAAGATAGGTTCTTCTACCTGCAGTCCTTATACTGGTTGCTTTGCTTATCCAGATTTCACCCTATTTTTGTGATGAATGTCTCTTCCCTTTCTCTTCTCACCTCTACTATTTAATTTAATTTCATTCATTTCTAGGCCCAAGGTCCTCACCCTGCCACACTGTATCCTGTTACAAATCTTCTCCATAAACTGTGCCCACAGTGTCCTGTTCCTAAGTTCTGCATCTCATTTTTCTTGGTCAGTCTATCCAAGCTTCCTCCTCACCCGAGTTCCCAGAGGAAACACTCAGTCCCTCTCTTGCCTGCCTTTGATCTGCATCTTCATCTTTCTCCCCTCTTGCATGTATGGCTTTTGCTTTCAAGTCAGGCAAATTCTCCTTTCAGTTGCTTGGTACTAGCAAAAGGTGAAGGATGGTCTCTCAACAGAGAAGTTTCCTTCTCAGCTCAAAGGCCAGTCAGGGCATGACCCATATACCAGGAGGCACAGGTAAAATGAAGAACCTCCTAAGATCCCATGGCAACCCATGTAGTTCTTATTGACCAGATATGAAGTGCAACTGCATATAGGAGACTTGTCCAAATTCTGGATGATTCTTAAGAGAAGGGGAACTGGCACATAACTGATGTAAAAAACCCCTCATGTCCAATCCCTGTTCCAAATATCTACATATACTAAAAGGCAAAGCGAACTGTATTATTAACAAAAGCAGTGTTTAATATTTTTGCAAAATGCACACGTTTTATTCCCAAGGTTGTTCAACCACACATTATGAAGATGCTCCATGGACAAGAAATGGGTCATATAAGACCATATCATAGACATCATACCCATATTCAAGGACAGGTTGGATGGGACTTCGAGCAACCTAGTCTAGTGGAAGGTGTCCCTGCCTGCAGCAGAGGGGTTTGGAACAAAATGATCTTTAAGGTTCCTTCCAACTCAAACCATTCTATGATTCTCTGACACTTGACTTAAAATTATTAAAAATACAGCCACCACCACTATATATAATTTAGCATCTATACGATTTTTAGCATTCACACAAAAAGGAAAAGCAATCTGTACAGAAGCAAAAAACTCCCTTTTTTCAATTCTAACAATAATTCAGCCAACTTTACTGCAAATGTTTGTGTATATAGCTCCTAGGGAAACTGCTCAGTTGTCCACTACGCATAGGAAAAAGAGGAAGCAAATCATATGTCAACAGACCAAAGAGCACAGTAGAACGGTGAGTAAAGTTAACAACACAAATGAAAATGAACTAGCAAAATTTATGTTAAGTGATTTCCGCAGTTGTTTAATACAAATTCTGGGATTGTTTGCCATCAATATTTAGTCATTATTAACTAGCACAATCAGGAGATTAGCTGTGCAGTTTCCAAGACAATAAACTTTTCCCTAGAGTTCTACTCAGCATGATGAGTCTCTTCATCATGCCTGCATTTGGTTGTCCTCTTCAGATTTGGTGGATTTGTGAATATGGCACAAGCATCTGCCTTGGTTTTGCTAAGAAAAAAGCAACAGTTTTTTCATATGAGCCAATTGTTATTGACTAGATACTTCAAAATTAGTGTAGGAAAATAAGTTGGTCACTTTCTTCACTTTTTAACTGCCTCACACTTGCTTAAAAACTAAGCAAGATCTAAACTAGCAAGTACCATATACATCTGGGCAAAAAAATACATGGTAATCATAAAGCAAGCCAAAACAAATGAAGCCAAAGCTCAGTTCTAGCAAGACTACCTTTCTCTAATTGCCATTAGGAAGCTATGCCTGAAACAACAAAAAATACTTTCACAAAAAAATTAAAAGAAAACTTGCAATTACAAATTAAAATGTTCAGTATTTATAGAATGTGTATAAGTTAATTTTAGGTACACATCAGATTAAAGAATCAACTTCATATGTCAAAAGTGAAACTTAAGTGACTTTTTCTATAATAAACTAGTTTTCTTTCCTCCAAAAATTAATTAACAATAAGCAATTTTAAACTGCCTTTCCTACACAGATGTCTGCATCTCTTTTTCTTCCTTTATTTCAGTAGTCCTTCTTGCTTAGTACAGATAATTTAGAAGTGTTTTAAAAATATGTCTTTGATTAAGCTTTTTGAAAATTGAAATGTCATAAAGCCAAAACACAGAAACTGCTACTCAGATTCAAAAGTTCTTATTGAGAATGATGCCTTTTTCCATATCCCCTTCTGTGAATCTTACAACTGTTCAGACAGTGGATATTCTACACTTAAAATAGCAGCTGATCTTATTACTTCCAAATCAGGCACCATTATTCTAAAAGAGGCAGCCGATACTTAACACTGCAAATTGTGGAGAAGAAACAGCCAATTTTGCTTAAGGCCATTCAAAATTCAAGGTTTGTTTTTTTGTGATGTCACACTTTTGTTTAACCAACAACATAGTATATTAAAATCTTGCCAGAATCAATATATCCTTGTGAGTGCCAAAGCGAACATTACGTTAGCCTCTACAAATGGAAAATTTACATCACGCATATGAAAAAGACTGCATGATGCCCAAGAATTTACCATTATCACCCCCCTGGAAAATTCTACGAGTGAAAATGATTTGCACTAGCTAAGAGCTATGTATATTCAGAAATCACAATTAATAAAACAGACTAGCAACATTATTTAAAACATAAGGAGACATTTATTTATATTTTCCATGAGAATGCTACAATCTCTTAGATTAGAGCTTTAAGAAATACAGCTGTGTTTTAACCTTTGATTTATCCCACAAGGGTTTTATTGCAGGTTACAATAATGCCATTGCTAACCAAAGCTTCCTAAGCCTCTTAATTTATAAAACAGTATCTTCCTGGGAAAACCTAGTGTCTTCTTCCTAGAAGACCATCAGTCCTCCTTAGCTTAGCCACCAACAACTTGCAAAAAGAACAACGGGCTGTGACACATTTACCCTTCAGACTAAAACAAAAACAACAAAAGACAACAGACTTTGAGTGTCAATGTATTAACAACACTCAAAACTACATGTTATAGATTACAGGCATCTCATAGCCTTGTTTACGTAAGACATTTATCTTATTCATTCACCTGTTTCTTCTTCTCTCCTCCTAGTAGCAAAGTGATTTAAAATTACATTTAAATAGCAAACTGGCATCGTGGCACCTTTAAATACAACCTCAACAGCCTCAGGATCATGTTCTACATTTGAAAACAGTGTCTGCATTTTTCTTCTTAAAAGAATTTGAAGTACTAATGTAGTCCTGTCCTTTGCTGTATTCCCACCTGGTCAATAAAAAGCATTGTTTTTTTTTTTCTTTCTAATATACAATCCCGAAGAAAGCAACTTATTTTTGTAAATGACAAAAATATCTCAAATGCCAGGCAGATTACCATTCTAGTGTGATTACATTACCCCATAATAATATTAATAAAATGTACTCAGAACTACTGTTTCTGCTCCTCCCTCTAGCATGTCTAGCATATCATAAAAATAATATTTGTAATTCTTCAGACAACAATCCAATATTAACTATTTGGTTTCAGAACTGTTTTGGCATTTTGGTAATTCTTTTCTACATGAAACACGTTCAGTTTACAACCTAGAACAATTCATATGTAATGCACTGTATTTGAATTTGGCATGTTCTTTATGAGCATGTAATTGAAAAGTGGAGACCACAGCATAATAAATCAGTCACAGTGGAGGACAAAAATCACTGAGTAATCTGATATGTATACATATCACATGCAGTTAGTGTGAAATGACAGCTATATGCAAATCAGAAAGAGATTTTTGTCTTCATTATTTATGCACCAAGAAATTTCCCTCCAAAGAAGAAATACAGTTGTAAGACACAGTGGTTGAAAAGGATGTGACTCAGAAATTAGCACAGTGCAGCCTGTAGTAATAGTGAGAACAGATATTCTGTTTCTCTAAACCTCTGCAACAATTATGCTTCAGACTAAAGACTAAAGCTTTTTACCTACTGTGAATTTCAACAGTAATGAGGTATATAGGTATTGACTATTCATAGTCAAGGGGGTGAAATAATGCCTGGCCACAATTTTGAAAAGATTACTGCATATAAAGCAGAAGTCAGAAATGGCCTTTTTTTCCCCCCAGATTTTTCTCACACATATATATTTACAAAGAAAAGAAAATAAGAAAAAGGTTTTCAGTTCAATATATTTATTGAACTATTTTATACTTATCAGTGGCTAACACAACATTTACTGGAAATATACGTACTTAAATTTGCTCCAGTTTCTGAAGTTCAACTCTGAACTATATTTCTGGAATACAATTATTTACAAGGGTGCCTTTTGCTGGTTTCTTCAGGATTATGCAGAGATAGCAACGGCTTCTGGAACTTGCTTTGTATCCAAACTCGCTGCATTTTCACTTTTTTCTTTCTGTTTACTTGTAGTCGCCGATCAACTAAATTCTGTACTTCAGTTAATCCAGCCACGTTGAACATGTTCCATACCTCATCTATTTTTTCATATGAAGAATTATTGCAATTTAAAAAAAAAGTAATTGGTAGAATGTAGTAATTACCAACCTGTAGTTCACCCAAAGATGGAAGTAAATCTGTTTTGCAATTTGAAAGCTAAAGGACACTGCCTGTAATAAGGCTTTTGTTAAAATTTCATTTTCACAGCTCTTGGTTTATATTGCAGTAAAAGTCATTATGTTGAGCCCCAAACCATGTTACTTATTATTAACAGCATCCACAGATCCCCTTTCTTCACAGAGTTCAAGATGCCATAGTTGAGTAAACAAATGCATGCCATTTGGTCACTGTTCACATATTATTGAGGTAAAGCTATTTCCCCTGACAAATAACAATCCAGACTTTTATGCCATATATAGCTACAGACTCTCCTTCCAAGAATGTTTAACTGAATTTTAACAGAGAAATCATGTGCATGTTTAAATAATAAAATTTGAGTATACAATTACACACAGGGTATTTAAAAAGAAATTTCCAGTGATGTCATTAAGCAGACTTGCAGGACCCCAAATGCAACAAGTGTGCACACAAAGGAAATTATTTTCTTACTACCGTTAGCTTTGGGCTTTTTAAAAGCAGAGAATTTTTTAAAACGCCAATAAGACCTTCTATAAATTAATGTTTTAAGATGAACTTTCATAATCCAAATCACACTGAGAAACACTCAACCCTTTCTATGAAACTATAACATTACATACCTTTGGTAAAGAAATATACTCTGGTTCCATCTCCTCTTACATAAAAATTTTCTGACAAGCAATGACCTAAGAAATTAGAGCAGTAATGAAAAAGGACGTGTCACTTTTTTTTCCCAGAAAGAGCTAAAATGAACAGTGAACTACAAAACCATTCAGGAATTACCTTTTTTAAAACGAAGTTGAGCTGTATCATATCTTCCGTAGTCTCGAAATAACAACATTCCTCCAGGCTTCAGTAGCTTAGCCAACCTATTTACAACCCCTTGCATCCTTAGAGAATAGATGAGATGCTGGTGAAGTTTGCAAACATAAGGAACCAAGTTTGCTGCCACAGACCAAAAAGGCAGCACCACCTAGGAATGTGTAGGACAGTAGTTGTGTACAGAATTACAGCCTTGCCTATATAAAGAGAAGTTTTGCACACACAGTAAGAAATGTACGTGCACAAAAATAAAAGTGCTTTGAGAAATTTCATCCAGCAGAACTAGAAGACATTAATTATACAGCTTGAAGAAACTTTGATACTTCCAATCCTGAAACCAAATTTTATAGGTGCCTTATAGGAGAACTGAAGTGTGTTAAAAATTGACTACAAGAGTAGCAATTATCAAAAACTAAACACAACAGCCTAGACAGAAATTACTAAGTAATAATTTGCTGAATATATATGTGTCCCTTTCACATGTATTTTCCATCTTTTCAAGGTACATACATTCTGCAGCATGAGTCCCTTGGTTTTCTTTTCATTTGCCACTTTAAAAGTTTCCAGAAAAAAATGTATATTGAGAAAGATGAACCTGGATCACATTTCCCTTTATGCAGTCATTTTATTCCTATGAGATGGCAGTAATGACTAACACGTCTTTGGAAAGTGGGTCTCACAACACAGATAAGTACATGAAAACCTTTGTGTGTGTATACACAAACAAGAACACAAAAGTATCCATGTCAGCCCTGGGGGAAAAAACCCCAATACAAACCAAAAAACCAAAACCAACAATGACAACCCCCCCCCCAAACAAATGAACAACAAAAAGTAAACAAACAAAACAGAAAATCAAACACAAAACCCTCAAATGTATTCTTGAAAGACTACTAGGAAGGATCCACAGAAATTCTGACAGAACATCAGATTACTGCTTCTACAGGCACAGTGACTGAATGAATCACTGCTGTCCAATTTCTTTTTGGCAGCATCACTGGAGTTATGAAGATATGAAGTCTCCTGATTGAATTGTTTTTGAAACCTGGACCCTGGATTTGTGTGACTTGTGATCATCTCTGAATAAACAGAAAAGAGAAATAGCCTATACAGGGAAGATTTTTCTGTATAAAGCTAATCACTAGTAGCAGGAAAACAGTTCTCAGACTTAGGCAAATACTGTTCTGTATGCCAAGCCCATTTTAATGACATTCTTGAGGTAATAAATGTATTATCACACAAACAGCATGTATTTCCCTTCATGTAACCTAGTTATAGTCAAGAAGTTTAACTTACATGCTCTCTTTTACATTTTTGCATTAAAAAGAGCATTTTCACAATCAGCCATAAAATTTGATTCATTAGACATCGAGAGGCATTAGCAAAGGCTAACAGTACACAACATCACACCATACATGAAAATTAGATCAAATGTTCTTAATCCAAATGAGTTACAAAATTACAGATGTATTTTAGTTTAAAAGGGCTGCATGTAAGCATTTGAACGTGGCCAAATCAGCAATCCAGGACTATATCAACATGTTGTAAGGTGTTAAATCAGGAATGTTTGGTTTTGATCACTAAAAATAACTGCCTTCTAGAAGACTGACAGTCTGGTTTTTTAATTTGCTATTTTTTTTGAATCTGTCACTTCTAATAGAGTTGTACTTAATTACAATATACCCCTTGTATTTTGATGGAGACTGGAGACTCACTAATTATAATTAGCTTGACCAGCTTTTCTCCTGAAGCCTGAAAACGGTAAACAAGCATTTAGAATACCTTACATATGCTGTAGCTTATTAAATAACAAAGATTCATCATCTTCTTCTGCTATTACTGAAAACCTCCAGTTAAAAAAGAGATTTAACCCATTTGCTTTGCCCTTTAGTCTTCATTTACCTGTCAGGATGAATAGTAGAGAGCACAAAGACAAGGAGAATGACATCCAGGATCTCATCTGGAAAAGGATAGGGTAAAGCATCATCACACACATCATGAACAAAGGCAGAACACCAGGCTGAATTGTAGGACGAATGTGACTGTCAGGAAAAAGATGAAAAGAGGCACAGAGAGAACAGTAGTAGTTAATACGTTTACTGTGACTCAAGAAACATTTTTTCTTCAATTATTCTGCATTGTAAAACATCTCATATAAAAGCCTATTCTGTCCAGTATCTTAACTCAAGCTGAGAAGCAAGCCCACTGATGGTATTCATTCCTCTCTGCATACAGTGTGACTTTGTTCTTTGGAATATTGAAAACTTCAGTTAAAAGTTGTCAAAGCCATCACATTCTTTTTCATGAAGATGGCTTCCTGGCAGCCTCCTGAATTACAGGCTTGTAAGGTACTCAAAAGCGAGTGTATGAATTACCTTTACCAGCTCCACTGCTCCTGAAGCAAAATCACAACAGTATAGAAAGGTTCCAGGTGTATTGCTAGGAAAACAAAACCAACATCAGTTAGAAAATTATTAATGTATAAGATGAAAGTCTACATCAGTGTTCATGAAACTTCAGAGGGTCCTCTAGGGTTCTCCACAGGTTTGATCAAGCATGCTTTATTGATGTCTAGCACATGGAAAGCCACATAGGTTGTAATGAACCAATAGGGCAGACAAATTCATAAGAATACCAACAGACAGTGGATGCAGAGCTGCAAAAGTCATCCAGTTCTGTAGAAGCTTGGGTTTCCATGTATCACCTTGCTGTTCTTTTGTTTTGATTAAGCATTATTGGTTATTGTACTTCATTATCCCCTTTGTTTCCCAGCTAGGATGAGTAAGAATTTCCTGTAACACTTTTTTCCCTTCTCTTCCCATCCAAGACTCAGCCAGCTGCAAAATTTCTTGTACCTTTCATCAGATACTAGAATTCTAGGAAGAAGTTTTTTCACCTCTGGAAGATAAACTGAGAAAGCCACTCAAAACTTACTGAGAGATGGCCTCATGATCAACTCATGATCAATTACTCCAATTAAAAATATACTTAAGATTTTTGGATAGATGGCTTCTTTAAAAGGTAACCAATAAACTATACGAGTGCCTGTAAGATCTCTCATTATACACAGCTAAGCTAGTGACTTCTGAAGGCTCAATAGGAAAATGCTTCTGGAACAAAATATAATCCATGCTTGTTGCCGAATAAAACCTTTATCAGCTCTGTGTCCACCATAAGAATTGATGAATTTTCATATTTATTAAGAATGAGGACAAGCAGCCAGGCCTTGGACCCAGGCAGTCCCTTGGGAAAGGTTAAGCTGATTACCTAATCAACTTGTTATAATGTTGGGGGGGGTTTTAAAATTTTTTTAAGAGCAGAATAAGAACCACATAGAAAGTCCACTTAAGAAAAGACATGGCTTGATCTGGATGGTGTTTTCATGACAGGCTTGCATTAAAAAGCACTAACTTAAATTTTTAGGGAGGGAGGGGAAAGAGGTTTAAGAGTTACATTACTAACCTTAGCGAAATTTTCTTTTGTAGCCAGGGCATACTTACTTGACACTGGCTTGTTTTAATATGCATATAATTATATGCATATAAATATATTATTTTATATGCATATAATTGCCAGAATAGCAATTTTTATATTATTAAGTTCAGAGTAAAACCAACTGTTCTATAATGCCAAGCTTGCTTAGAGATAAGAGATCTTTCCATTGGGTCATATACGATACAAACAAGCAAGTTGTTTAATGTATCAACCAATGTGATTGATTGGAGGATTTACATACAAATAGAGATCTCCAGGAAGAATACCTAATGAGTAGATTCCTAATTATTAGAAATGCCAAACTATGACTAATGACTCCTGTGAGGAAAACACAAAAGTTTGCCTCATCTTTTTCAAAACAGCTACATTATATGTTTTCCTATATAGTGTTCCTTTCAAAGTTTTAATATGAAACCAGGCTCTCCTTTCACTACATGCTGTCTGAAGCAAAGCATTTGCTGTGGGATGAAGATGCATTGCTAACACTTAGAGGTTTCATGTATGATCCTGGTGCATCACTCAATTCCTCCTGTTGTGTTTCCATATCTGCAAAATGAATGAATAGTGTTGTTCTCAAGCTCTTAAAGGCATGAATAAAAAGAAATCTATTTCAACTCTTGAAACATACACTGCCTTTCCAATAAAACCTTCCTGCCTACATGGATGGGAGGACAAGCTGTCACAACAGATTTTTCTAAAACTGGAAGCTAAATGGATTAAGATGTTTCAATGAATTAAGTAATGTGATATAGGACCTGTGCCTTGGCACTAAAACCACAAGTAATGTGACAAATATACCAGGCAATTCAGAAAAAATAGAACTTCTTTCCAGTAGGTCACATCTATGGTCTCTATCATTTTGGCCTTTTGAAGAGATAGCTGGTAGCTTTACAGTGTACAAGACAAAAGAATATCTCACCTGCCTGAGATTAACTACAAGAAATCAGCCTGAATGCACCCAAACTTTGTCAGCAAATATGATCCCTCAAGACCAGGGATGAGCAATATGAGGAGTATCCTACACTGATTCTACCAACATTATTTGTGGTCTGACACATTAAGAATCGTAGGGCTGTAAAATGGTTCACTCAACACTTCCTGCAGCACTGATCCAGCACCAACATTTGGTGAAAATGAAGATGTGAATCTTATTCTGTGAATATTAAGAATATTATTCTTTCATTAATATTTGGAAATCCAACACTATGTACCATAGAACTTTCAGAATAGGAAAGACACTGTTTCCAGCTCCACAACCAACCTAAAATCAGAAAAGAAAGATCAAGTTAAAATAAATGAGCAAATAACACCTTTTTTGTCTTAAATTAGTCGGCTGGTAGGACTCATTAAACTTGAAGGTATGTTGGAGAGAAAAGGTATATTCTTTTATAAAAAGCTCATACCACAATTCTCAAATCATTTACATGAACACTGTCTTTCTAAAGTTAAGAGAGAATCTGTCTCTCAAACTGCATTAGAAAATGCAATATTATTGTCCAATTTCACCATTTGGCAAGAATGCAGTAAGTACTTGCACTTTTAGACAAAGCACTTAAACTCACACCTTTCCTTAGGAAATAAGAAACCTGACTTTCAATGAAAATGAAATCTGACAATCTAGCCCTATTCTGATTTGGGAAAAACTTTAAAGGGAAAACCAAGATTTAAGTTTCTCTGAAAGTTTCTGCCACAAATCAAGGTAGTATGTAAAATTCTAAAGGCTTTCTTTCTTGATACTTAGCAAAGGTCTTTATCAGATTTTTGAGTAATTAAGTGGAGCTCTATATGATGGGCAGAACATTTGCAGTGCATTACCTCTAATATTCGGTAAGTGGCATCACAACCAGGGAAGGATTCTACCTTGCAAAGTTCTTCTCCACAGGTTTTACCTTGAGGATTGTCAGTAAGAGCTTTTACTTGATTTTTATTATATGCATATCCTTGCACAGCAGTAGAACCACCTCCATAATATTTCTTCCAGTATTTTTCTCCTTCTTCAAACATTCCATTTTTAAGTGGAAAACTGTTGTCATTATTTATTTTTGCATGTTCTGAAGATATTTCTTCTGTTTTGAACTCTTGTCTCTTTTTTTCTGGAAGAATTTCTGGAAACTCCAGAAACAACCAATTGCGATCCTTGAAAAAGTTATTTTTGTGTGTCTTGTAAAATTCATTCCAATATTTACTGGCTTCTCTCTCATATTTATCTGAAATTAAAACAGAACAAAACCTTGGTGAATATGAGCTTAGCTAAAAAATACTCTAAGAGAACATATAATTTGGACCTGAAATATACAGTTCAAAAATCCATAGTTCCACACATTATACATTTAAATGAAAACATACAGATTTTGTGTCTCACCTTAACTTGTGCTCAAAATAACTCCTATGAAGGTTTAATTAGATTTCATGTCACTTAGGAAGCGGTAGACAGGCTTACTGCATTGTTTTAAAAAGGTAGTGACATCATAAAACAGCACCACCAAAATATGCAATCTGAAGATTCTTAGACAAGCTTTCATGTCTCAAATTATAAAAACAATGCATCTTTTCAATTACTTAAGAAATAGTAAATTTAAATTCTTTTATGCTTTATGAAATTCTGTCATCAATTGAAAATTTGTTGTTACCTCATCACCTCTTAAAAAAAATTCCAGGTTTGTGAAGTGGATGGATAAATGCTACTGCATAGCAAATAGAAAGTAATTCACACTTAACCATTCAACAACAGAGAAGGAACATACTTGCTTTCTTATTTTCAAAGCATTTCAGAGTCTTACAACAGACCTTTGTGTTCACTTTTAATTCACAAAACATTCTAACAGTGTTAGAGTGTCAAAGAGTAGAACTGGAAGGGATTTCACAGTCAGGGAATTCATACCTCTTCTCCACAAAAATCTGTCCAACTTTTTCTTAAAATACCACTTTTCACATACAACTTTCTTCAGTAATATATTACAGTCCTTAATTTTCTACACAGTTAGAAACTTTTTCCACTAACTAAACTAACTAAAAACTTCCATCTTGCAATTAGGTCAAGCAATTCTTGTCCCAACTAGATCAAGCAGGCAAAGCATTTTCTCTTCTCTTTGTAACACCTATTTATATATTTGAAGTATTTTACTATATATTTACAATAGTATATATAAATATACAGTAATACATAATACTGCAGTATTTACTATACATTACTATTTATCTTTTTGAAGTATTTTACTATCCCTCCATAAACAATCTCTTTTCTAGATTGTCTAAACCTATCTTCTTTTAGATTTTTATACTTCTGATAATTTCAATTTTTCTTCTCTAGATTCTCTGCAATTGATTTACTACTTTTGGGTGTTGCATTCTGGCAAAGGCATTATCATTGCAGAGCAAAAGGAGTATTTTACAAAGCTTACAGGTTGTAATCCTGTTTATAACTCCCAGCTTGCCATTTTGCAACAGCATGACACTGCTGATTCAGCTAGTGATTCACCACAATTCTCAGATCTTCTTCTGCAAAATGACTACCAAGCCAATTGTTCCAAAACCTATTTTTTTTTCCTCAAGGAATTATTCTGAAGCAAGGAAATCTGCACTAATTTTTAGCAAATTTATATATTTCAGGTTATTTTTTTCCACTGTTTGTCCAGATCTTTCTGAATCTTAATCTTGTCCTTCACCATACTTGAAACATCTCTTCACTTAACATAATCTTCAAGTCTCTAATTTCCCAAGGTCACTAATGAAAATAACAAGCAGAACTGGACACAGAATAAAACATTCCTCTGCCCAACACAGCCTTCCATTCTGAAAGGATCTCTAGGCATTCATTCACCCAAAAGCAGTTTCATTAGCTCTTGCTTGCCTAACTTGCTTATGAAAATGTCTAGTTAAGCAAGTCAGAAGCCTGACTAAGGATAAACTTCAAGACATCTGCTGCTTTTCCCTTATCCCCAGGGCTTGTAACCTTCTCCAAGAAGGAAATTAGTTTGATTTTACATGATTCATTCTTGAAAAAAGTATTTGTTGGCCAGTATTCATCTCCTTTGTTCTTCTGAATCCAATGTCTGCAAGCTCTGGATGTACTTTTCCAGTATTTTTCCAGGAACTGAAACTAATTATCTGACTCCTCTTTTTTTCCCACCTCCTTTTTTAAAGAAGCAAATATTCTCTTTTCTGCTTTTCCACTCATCCATGTACTCTATGGATGTACTTTGTAACCTGTTCTTTCTCAGTTCAAGAACAAAATCTTTCCTTCTTCTCACTAGCACTAATTGTGCTAGCCACTGGACTGGAGCTAGCTAACCCTTTCAAATGAAGACTGATAAAAAGATAAGAATTAGAACTTTTCAATGTCTCTTTTGTTGATGGTTTTCCCTTCCTTATCCCTCCTAAGTACCAAACCAAATCTTTTTTCTTGTTTTTTCCCCCCTTATTTCCAAAGCATTAGCAGAACTAGCTTGCTACCCCTGACATCTCTTGCAGCAGAAGTGTACCTCATATAATGTGTTGCCTTTATTATTTTGTTCTCACTCACACCAACACATTAATTCTTTTAATATAAATGCACAGACTAAATGTACAGTGCACTTCTCCTACTACTCTCTTTAAATCTTAACATATTATTTCCTAAATTGCTACAGCTTTTCAGAGATAAACAAGCCTGAGAATTATCATTAGAGGCACAGACAGGCAGTGGGAAGTGGTAAGGAGGTGGCAGAATGCCTTGTCCTAGAAATCAGCATAATGTTTTAAAATTAACATTTAATACATCCAATTGTATTATTAAAGGGCAAGACCCAGCCATGTAATTGTAATTGTACAGGTCTGTTTTATATTAGAAGTTCAAAGTTGATTGAGGTCATATATATATCATATTTCAACAGTTTAAGTTGCACATTTATAGACTGCTCAGCATCAGTGTGAAAACCAAAAACCCTTCTAGTCAAAAGGTTCTTTAATTATTATCACCCCTTGCTATAGTCACCATTTTCCTACAAGTCTGCTCAGAACCTTTGTACTTAAATTCACATCAAATTTTCTAGGTTTCAGAATTGAAGGAAAGCAATAGCTAAAGTCAGATTTTCAAACTTTATTAGTATGGAATGACATGGGTTCAAGTGAAGGAACATGTTATTTGCATTGTTGCACAGGTTATTCCTGCATCTCTGTGGACATATACAATACCTGTATGCAATACTATCAAATTTTTATCTGATTTTGTGTATTTAATTAGCCTACCCAGGAATTTTTCCAAAGCATCTAAAAATTACATAACTAAGAAACATAAACTTCCAAGAAAAACAAACAATCAAACAAAAACCCCAAACAAGCACAAAACTAATTAAGAAAAAAAAAACTTTACTATGTCAATCGATTTTTCTCTGTAACAGGATCTTCCACTGCTAGCAAGCATGCCTGAGAAGAAACTGCACATGCTAATAAGTAAATCAAATTCCTAAAGGTAGTATCATGGGTTCATTCAGTTTAACTTCTCTTGCTTTAAAAAAGTTCACCAGAGCTCCCCTACTTTAGTAATACAATAGCATTGTTGAAATCTCTTTTCCCCTTACTGTAGTCTTCAAGGCCCCAAAATAACCTGCTCATTAGCATTGGTCTAGTTCATTGTTTACACAAATAGGCCAAAATGTACTTCCACTTGCAGAATGAAGCTGAAGCTTTCTGAAGGAACACTATCAGCAATGCTCACCTATTCAAATTCTAAACAGAGGGGCATTCATAGGAAATGTCCTTGGATTCTTGTGTTTCATGGCAATAGACAAATGCCTGATTATTTCATTTCTCTGCAGCACAAACCAAATTCTAATTGATTGTAGATGAAGAATGAAAGGTTCCATGAGCCACACGGTCACACAGCTTACTTTTCAATTACAAGCTCTTTTTCAGCTTTTTATACAAATCAAATACAGATATTAGATGTAATTTTTGAAAAAACAAATGTTGTACTCCTGTATGTAGATAAAGAATGTGAGAGGTAACAGAGAAAGTCAGGTTGACAATGTCAGAGTATTCAAGGTGATGAAGGGCACACAATTCAAGGCACATTCTCAGGTAATTGAAATAAACTCCAATATGTGCCTTAGTTACATCGTGGTATAGGATCAAAATGACACTATGACAGATTCATGACATGCTAAGTAAACTGAGGCACAGGATATCCAAGTAACCGCGTTCAGAATATATTTTTAAAATATCTTTCTAACACAATAACAAATTAAGAATCCAGTCTATGCCACTATCAAGTTGATATTCCAGCTTTAGCATTCATAACTACCCTAGAGTTTAGTCTATGGTTTAGTTTGCCAGTTTGAACATAGAGCTATCACTCTTCAGATTCACAGAATACATTAAATTTCCCTCCTGAAGACAGGCACAAAACTCCTTAATCCCTTACAGAGCAAATCCTGTGCATCCTGTGCAGGATGTATTGGAATACCTTCCACACAAAGTGCAGACATTGATTCCTGAAGCACTCCCACCTCAGCCTGGCAAAGGCAGCAAGCTGGGAACAGCTGGGACCACTGCAACTTCCATGGCATTTAACCAAAATACAGTGCAATGTACAAACACAAACTCTCTAAATAGTTCACAAATTACTAAAAAGCATTTGAATATTGTACATGGGAATCTTCATCCCCAGCACCCAAGCTGAAAGCAAATTAATTCCCTTGGTTCTGTAAAAGCCTTGTGTAGTCAGAGTTGTATTCTGGAGGACTGCAAAAGGGGTCAGAACAACTGCACCATATTTGCACTTGTTTTACAGAGAGTCTATTGCCACTCTAACTGTAAAATTGCTCAAAAAAGTATTAGAATTGTTAGAAAAATACACTGTGATATTTTTAAGGCAACAAAGGGAAAAAAACCAAAAACAAATAAAAAAATTTAGACAAAAGAATGCAGAAATAAAAAGAGTGTTCCTGAATTCTACAGCATCTTTAAATGTTTTAATAAAGAGCATTAAAATAATAATTTTTATACAATTCAAAATTTGTTACCTTGGTCTTCTGATTGAACTTTCACAACAGAGTTTTCTGTTGCTTGTTTCTTGGCATTCTCCTCTTCTTCTTGTGACCATTGCATGTGGTCCCTGCAGAAGGAAGTTGAAGCACCAGCTTTTCAGTAGGGTTTTTCATAATATTTTTCATGAGCTAGTCATGAATTAGTTACACTGTCTCAAATACTTTTTTTAATTTTTTGAGCGCAAACAAATAACTACAAGGAGAATGACATTTAAAACCTAAGTTTCAGTGTATGATAGATAAAAATTAATTACTAATTAGGTAAAACTCAAGAGATTATGAAACATGTCCCAACTGCAAAGAGACTGAAATAGAATGTATTTCTTTTATTAATAACAGGATTATATATATTTTGCAAATTGAGTGTTTTTACAGAAGTGTATTTTGAGTATCCCATTAGAACTGTATATAACTGAATAAAATAATAGACCTACCAACAAACAGCCTAATGCAAGAAACACCTCACATTAATAGTATTTATGATAAGGAACTAAGGACTAGAAAAGAAATCAGCTGTTCTGAAACAAGAAGCATAATCCACCTATCAATTGGAACAGGTGGAACTGATGAACAGGGTTTTACTTTTCTGGGGAACACAAATAGGTACCATTAAAAAAAACATAATGAGATATTTGTAAGAAAAGTCAAGCAGTGCCTCAATGTTTCCAAAGTCTATGCCATCTATATTTGAGTAAAGTGGTTACCTAAATGTTATGTTAATCTATGGTCACAGAACCAAGCCCAGATCTGACCCTGATGACTAAACTGCCTTCCCTGCAGATTCTGGATATGGATCAGACCACAATGGGGAGTGTCCAAAAATGTGCTGCAGGACGTTTTCCAAAGCCAATCAGCTGTCCCTCCAAATTGTCCAGACAGAACAGATTAGATAATATAATTCAAGTAATCTATTAAATCCTAATCCTACTGAAATCAGCTAACTGAAAGCCCATGACTAAAATTCCATTGGTTACTATGGGAAAAGGAAGAAGGTGCCAGCTTGAAAAGAGTTGATTATCTCTAAAAGCTAACGAGCATCTTCCTTTTCCATACTTGGTGACATATAGGTAATTTAATTCTTAGACCTTCACTGTTCCTCCTGTTAATTGGGGGAGACTAATTGGTATGTATTTGTCTGCTTGCCTCAGACTTGATTTCCGTCTCTCTACAGAAATATTTCTCATTATTGTCCTCAGCAGGTTGCCTCTCCCCTTCCTGTATTTGTTCATATACCAAATGTTCCTGTGCAGTGTCATGGCTCTGAAAGACACGCTGCAGTAGAATAAAACTGAATGACCGAAGCATTACCAGGCAGACATCCTCTTGGAAAGACCTGCTTCCTTCACTGCTATCACCGGTTTTGACCTTGCCTATTCCAGCAAGCTGAAACCAAGGACTATTCAGATGGCAATAATACACAGTCAGCCCTTCTGACAGATGACTTGCTGTGCTGTAATCTTTAGCTTATCAATTTTAATCCATCACTGCATGTCTTTCAGCGTCCTTAGGGACTCTACACACAATACTAAAGGTGCCTGAAGCCCTCCATCTTCATTAACAGCCTTTTTTTTCCCTCCTTGGAAATTCATTAAGCCCCTTTTGGTGCTTTTGTAGAAATTTCTATATGGTAGATCCCAAACAATACTGCTCCAGCACTACTTGATCAAAATCTACAAGAGGGGACATGGCATAGTTCTTACACAAACTATTTACATAGTAGAGATGCTTCAAATTCAGCAACACAAGCCAGTACGAACACAGGACAGCTAAGAATTTTAAGCACAGAAATGTTCAAACACAGAAGTGTTTTAAGGTGAAGACTGAGTAGCAAAGCAAGCTATCCATTTTAACCACACCAGGAACTGTTAACATAAGTAGGCCTGATATAAGATCAAACAATGCTGCTTTCAGTTCAGCCTATTCAATATAGTCCTTTTCCACTAACTTATTTGCTAACTTAGGGTTTAATGATCTGTGTGATCATGTGAAAAATGTGTCAATACAAACCTGTATAGAAGCAGGCATTTTTTGCTCCAATGTTTAGCATCATTCATTACTTCTCTCTCAAAACAACAGAAAAGCACCACAATAAACATTAGAGCATTAGTTCCCAAATTTAATTTACTTGCTATTTCTAGCAGCAATGGTAGCAGCTCTTGGCTCTCTGCCAATTCACACAAAAAGAATGCCACTTTATGAACTACCAAAGATGATGAGTGGAAAACAAAAAGACATCATACATCAGTGCTACAGAAGATGAATATCTTATGCTCACTTATGTTCCTCTGTATAATCTATTTAGCACTACCACCATTCATCCAAATTCTCTTTATCTCCCTAGTGAGTACCCTGCCAATACTGTGAGCTTCAGAAACAATGACCTACCCCACACCATAGTCAGGTTCTTGATTTATCAAGAACATCATAACTTCCATGCACCTCTGCTTCAATTCAATTTCACCTGTTTTCCCATCTGAGCTACATGGATTCATCTGCAGATCCACTTTCGGAAAAACCCTGTTTCTTTCACTTCCATCTTCACAATCCATCCAAACCACCTGCATCAAAGTTTGGTAACTGTGTTAGACTGTCACCAAAGGGTAGCAGGAAAAACTGAAGCTACATATAATCAGTTTTTTGGAAGGAAATTATAAAACAAACAAACAGTTTCATTAAAAATCAATGTTACAGAAAAAGGGTGGGCCTTTTCTTAAAATCTTTTCCTACCTTGATTATATAGCCTACATGGAAGTGTTGTAAGAAGTAATTTTTTTTATAGTTTCTATGTTTCCCACTTCTCAACAAATATTCCTTGGGTTTAATGAAGAACTTTAGAAATAGAAATTCCTGGTCTCCAGTCTGGATATTCTACTTTCTAGATATATAATCTTCTATCACTTCCTGTATCACTTACTGTTTTGTGTTCATCTCCATTCCACAATCAAAAATCTTTGGCTTTTCAGTCTCATTTTTCCCACTCTGTCGACTAGCAGTCTCACTCTTTTCTGAGCACCCATTAATCACAAAAGCACCTTTTAGAGATGGAGATGTTGCAAATCAGGGCAATTCTTATTCTTGTCAGCATTTACACATTGATGTCTTCTCTATTACATTGCTTACTTATGTTAAGATCCAATTTACTTTTCTTGATAATTGCTGTATGTGAAAATTTCTTCTGAATGATCTGAATTTTCAGTACACCTTTAGAAGAACATGAGTAATATGAGTAATTTATATGGTCCCTTCAAAATGGTGTCAATTTTAGACTAGCCTGCTAATCCAGTATGCAATATTATTGTACCTAGAAACTTCTGTATTCTTTGTCTCCTAATTGATTACTGATCCATAATAATATTTTGCCTTTCCCTCCTCGACTATTTGCTTGGCAGCTTTTAAGGCAAGTCACTGACAGCTTGTAACTGTCAGATTACTTGTGTCTCAGGTTTCCTCTAGTGCTACCTTCATATGCCTATTCTGGCAGCACCTTGTTTTATACACCCATACCATTGTTCATCAGAGTAAACAGTATATAAAATTATCCAAAAATCAGCCTTGAAGAAACATCTCACCACATGTTATGCTCAAAGACCTTAGAAGGATCAGTTAAAATCCGTGATCCGAGTGGAACCGCTGGTCGTCTATTACTTTGGTACCTATGTTGCATCTTGTTTTTCCTCAGACATAAAGCAGACAGCCTTGTAATGAAGTTTGTTGTGTTGAGAGACCTGAAAACACATTTAACTTAAGTTACAGTTTTGCAGTAACCTAATTGTTTATGTCACTTACATGAGAGACTGGTCAAATAACCAAGAACAGGTATCAGATTTACTAAAAATCATTTACTAAAGTATCAATTCAAATGCTTTTTAGAAAATGGCAACATCCCTTCAGTGTGCTGAAAGCCCAAATAATCCCAAAGTAAGCTACTGGATTAAAACCAAAAAGATTATTTATCTTAAAGATAAATTATCTAGTATCATTTCAAAGTCCTGTCAGGGAGGAGAAGGAAAATACACAGTAAAACAATAACCCAAGGCTGATATTGTACCTTTATGAATCCAAGCAAGAAATGATCAGTAAAGAAACCACTTCTTTTAGTGGGTACAATACTGTCAGCAAACCTGACATTTTTCACCCCACTCATTTTCTTCAAAAAATTTCACTCTGCAACTGTGACTATGGTTTTATGCTTTTAAATAGAAAATAAATATATTTTTAAGTGTAAACATAATGCACATAAAGCCTTCTAACATTTCTGCCATGTATTTTCCTGATCCCTGTACAATTCCGTCTTTGAAATGTAATGTAATTGTTATACATGTTTAATCTCTATCAATGGAAATTATAAAGTGATTCACATTTTCCTATTACATGTATAATTTTATCTTATATTGCTATATTTTACTTTACTTAGAATATCTTCATAAAGGATGAATATTGAAAGAAAACAAGTGTGTGTAGGTAGTATTAGCATTGGTAGTATTAGCATTTTTGGTGGGTTTTTTTGCATATTCTTGTTAATGTAGGCTTTCTATGAGATGAGAAAAATGAAATACCCCTCCTACTACTTTTACCCTGATGGGCTTTTGTTCTTTTTTCCTTAAAATTATTCTAAATTCTATTTTTTCCCCGCCTTTTTTTTTTTTTTTTTTTTTTTTTCAGTGCTGCCTCTGTAAAAACCACACATACAAATTTAATGCGCTGGAAATACAAAACATAGTTACAAAAGAACAGGCACAAGGCAGTACTAGAAAACATTCCATGCAAATTGGTTGCAAAACAAAGATTTATATCTCAAGGAAAATAGTAGCATTTGATCACAAGCCTTGTACTGTGAATTGAAAATTATTAATCTGTACACAACCATACAAAGACTGGGAAAGGAATCACTTCAATTAAATGAACAATTCCTCCTTCAACATGTACTTTTGAATGAGTCATGCTTTAAAAAAGACATTGTTTATTCATTTTAAGCCTACAGGGAAAAAAAAAAGGGAAAAAAAGATTAAAATTTCTTTTTATTTGTCAAAGTTTAAATAAAATGTAGTTTGCCTTATGGCTGAAAATGCCAAATAAAACCACTGTTAATTCTGGCTGCTGAAACTGCAATGTTACCAGGACATGGAAGCACTGCCATACAGTGAAAGAGTAACATTTAGACCAATTTAAAAAATCAAAACTTCTGATGTTAATGAGTTTATTGTGGCTTTTTTTTAGCTGTGGATCAGCAACTAAAACAATTCCAATTTATACTTCAATTAGTACAAGTTGTTCATGGTCTTTATTTGAAAATATGTATGCATATTTCATAACATAATCCACAATTATTAACATATATGGGATATAATGAAATAATAATTATGAAACGTGAAAATTAAGACATAATGACAATTTCTGCAAAATGTGTAATTTACATAAAGGCAATGAAAAATAAAATTTTTGAAAATAAAAACAAAGTCCTCCAAAACCCAAAACCACAATCCAAAATTCTCATTATTAAATTATGTAAATGCTTGGATAAAGATTGCATTATAACATTGCAAACTGTTTACAAATCCTCTTCCTCCCTCCATCATTTGAAAAGACCTGAGTTAGTATCTTGCATTTCCTGTGCCAGCATTGATATTCACCATAAAATACAATGATTCAGCTGCTAGGCTAGTCACATAATTTTTCTTGGCTTTCTAAACATCTCAATAAGAACATGAAAAGATGCACAGATGGGAACTATAGTCAGATGTCTAAGATGATCTTACATCAGTAAAATCCAGATATGCAAGCCTTTCTATGAAAAAGTGAGCCTTTGAGTGATAATTGAACAATTTTAGTAGATAAATTCTGAAAATGCAAGGCGAGTGGGTGAGGAAGTTTACTGTTGCAATCAATGTTACATGTGAATTAACTCCCTGAGACATCAGAAGAAGTCATACACAGATCATGAGATTAGTGGACAACATGGCTACTAAAAGCTCAAAAGGCATTAAATCACTTGAAAGCCTAAACGACATTTTCTGAAGTGAGTCACTGCTCAATTGTTTAACTGAAGTTTGTTAATGAAACACCCTTTCTTGTTAGCAGGTAGGATGATCTTACCCTGAAGTTATGACAGCAACAAATACTACCTGAAAGAATTTGGAGCTCTTCCCTGTTCACAGTCACAGTTGGGAACAGTTTCAGTTTGATTATTAATCAAAACAATTCAATTTTCATCTTTAAGGAAATTAACATAAAACTGAATTACATTAAAATTTACTAGATTTTGTGGCAGGCAGAATAACTATTTTTCATAAAAAATCTTTAAAGAAACAATGCACTTGATACCCATGTTGAAGAACAACAAGGAAGTCTTTGTTTTCCCATGGAGCATCGTCTTTTACACTTTTGTAACAGTTACAAGTACAGATCAGGTCTCAGTTTAATTTAGAAATTTTAAGAAACAGCCTTAAAACTCCTTCCCTCCTCAAACAAGCAAACACAGCATCTTTAGTACAGCTTTTTGCAGGTGAACATGCAGAAGAATGTACACACATCAACTCCTAGCCAGACCTGAAGTTCGAATCAATTGATGTTGTCATTAAAACCCTGAGCAGTCACACCCATAGAAGAAAAATTAGACAGAGAAAAGAACTGCTCTAAGATTTTTTAACAGTGAATTACACCTCAAAATATATTGAAACCACTTAACTGATGAGGAAAATTCTTTAAAAGTATCCATTCTGAGAGATTTCAGAGGAAAAAAACCCAAACCAAACCAAACCAAACCAGAAATAACCTATTACTTTTATCCAAGAACCTAATTTAATTAATTTATTGTATGAAAATATTATGACATTTGGCTGATCTCCAACTACAAATCTAACAACTTCTTCCATCTCCAATCACTAAGCCTACTTGTAGAGTCTCTGTTACAAAGGCAAAAATAGCCTATATTAGGAACACTATGTGCAGCTTTTGTTACATTCCTAGACAGAAAAGTATTCTGGAAACAATTAACTTCATACAATTACTTCTGCTTGGTACCTAGAAGCTTATCTATACAACATTTGACCGTTAATCCTCAATGCTCTTCTGAAAAGCTTTACTACTCTGTATTATCACCATCAAACACTACCAAAACTCAAAACACCTTCCACAAAACAGATGCAAATGGCAATTAGGGACAGAAAGGAAAAAAAAATCAAGATTATGGTGACATAGAAGGTATAACCATGAATTACAAGTGGTTATTTTCAAAATACATACACATTTATAGTTCTTAATATTTCCAGTCTGGGTGGGGGTGACTTTACTGTCAATCAGACTCATTCATTAACTGAGTGCTTAATCCTATTCCATTTGACCAAGTGACTAATCATGCCCTCTTGGGGCTTCATGATTTGTTTTTCAATCATATACTTCCAAAAAATTATGCACATTTGAATCAACAGGGTATTTCACAACTTCTCAAACTCAGCAAATCTAAAACTTTCCTTTCTCGTGCACTAAGAATGATGTAGACCTCCCTGTGGGCATACAGCAACTTCAGTGAAACTGCTGCAGAGGAGTGCCTCCCAGGGGAAAAGAAAAACAAAAGAAAAATTATTTTGATTTATTCTGATTCTGATTTATTCTTATTCTGATTTATTCAGAGACAACAAAATTAAAATTAGTTAAATAGCAAAGCAGATAAAAACAAACAAACTTGCCCCACCAGATATGACTTTAGTGACATATATGTGTGCTGAGTGAGAAGTGCCTGTTCTTCCACAAACTGAGAGGTATCCTGTTAAAAACAGTCGAGCAAAGAGGAAATAGTTTATGCAGTGAGAGAGAAGGGAAGATAAATCCTGCAGATTTACTGGAAACATTTACTTGAATAATCAAAGAAGGGCTCCTTGTTATCCTGCACACCCTCTGCTGGCTGCTGCTTAGACGGGAAGGAGGAAAGAAAAAAGCTATTGAGACTTTATGTGTATGTATACACATACTTGCACAGTGAAGATACATCTATACCTCCAAATGCAATCACTTAAACTATTTTAACCATATTATCTACAAAATACTGAATATTCAAATGTATTGCCTAAAAAGAGATAATTTCTCTCAAAACAAACTATGGGTTTTTTTATTAAAGCTGATGAAAATTGGGATAGACCAGCATGAATTTTACTACTGTCTACAGCTTATATTGAAGAACCTCATCCATTTACATTCTTGCAGGACTCTGGATGTCCATGCAGACTTTGATGAGCTACAACTTGCCTTGCCATCTCTGAAGTCACTGGGATGTCGCAAATCCAGACAGTATGCTCCACTTACTGCCCTAATCAGCTCTTTGAAGGAGCAATTGCAACCACCGTGGTTGTGTTTAGCTCCCTTCAAGAAATAACTACAAAGCACCAGAAACTTAAAGACTCTCTCTTTCCTTCAGTATCAGTGAAGATTCAAGGTTCCACTCACATCCTGAAGAACAGACACGGGCACACAAAAAGATCAGCAACTTTTGATTACCCCATTTGGGCGCTTGGCCTCTGGCAAGGACGAGAAACAAGTCTGTCCACGGACTTCAGTCGCTCTGCCGGCAAGTAACAATTAATGACTATGACAACATTCGGGATGTAGCTCTAAAAATACAAAAATGAAGTGTCATACATCTTAAGAAGTTTCTGTTGACCTTGGAGTTTTAAACGGGTTTCAACAAATCCCTTAACCTTCCCCCCAGGTCTGGATACACTCAATCCCACACCGCCGTACCCGAACAGGCTCGCGGCCGCTGTCCAAAGGCTCGCAGGTGCCAGGCCGGGCTTTCACCCCCGCGAATGCTCCGCGCCCAACCCCGAGGGCTGAGCACTACAGCAGGAACATTTTAAAAGAAAGAAGATGCCAGTTTCCCACTTCTACTTAACCAGCTAACACTAACAAAACTTTCCTGCCTTTATCTAAGAAAACAACGGGTAAAATGCTTCCATCTGCACGCCCCGTACGTCGAGCGCCCGCTTCTTTCAGCGCAGGAGAGCCCGGCCGGGGCAGAGCTCCTGGTGCGCGGGCGGCTCCGCGGTACCGGCCGGCGGCCGCTGCCGGCGATTCTCACCAAGCCCTGCGCAGCGCCTGCTCCTGCCCGGTCCTCGGAGCGGTGCCTCGGCAGCGCCAACGCCGCAGCGCTCCGGTTCGGGAGGGTAACCCCACTTCGCCCGCCACCCG